GAAATTCATACATGTTATTCATACAGTGAAAGACAGACAACTCTTTCAAATCCAAAAACTAGGGTGCTAAAACTCCAATCTATTATTATCGTCAAATATAAAGTTTGGAACTGCTCCATAGACAATGAACTGGGATATTATAGATGACACTGAAAGCACTGTACTGAGAATATAGGTATATCTTCTGTTTCACAACTGAGAACACCACAATAAAATAAAGCTCTTGTAGGTATAAAAAAGGAAACAAACATTCTTTTGGTCCTAAAAATCAGTCTCCCCATTCATTCTCAGCAGCTCCAGACTTTATTCTTGATGACACCACAAGTTTAAGACTTACTTCCCTGATTTCTGGCGCTTAAAGAGAGTAGCTCATGTTCACAAATACTGAGTGAACTTGACCAGGGAAATAACATATTAAATTCTTACACTAGGTGGTGTCCCCTTTTAAATCTGTGTATGAACATTTGCATATTTTGCCTTAACCGATTATGGACACTACAGATTTTATATAACATTAAACTTGCCCTAAATACTTTGTGATTTCGTACCCCAGATGTTAAACACTCTTGGCTGCCTGTTTACTGGGTAAACCTATCTAAAACTAGGTGTATATAAACCAGGTATACCCTAAATAATCCCGAAAGATTTTATTATTTCTTTCAGGGCTGTTGCACTGGTTGTAGCTAAGTATACCTAATAAACTGGCGACTGAGTGTATACATGCCACATGATATAATGTGCAAGAATGTGACATTAAGGCAATATCATGGACATAATCTTGAACACCGTGTATTGACCATGCATGCCTAAACTCTACCTCTGATTTGACACAGCATAAATACAAGCAACTTTATATTTGCTATATATTTTGTATGTTGCAGTCTTTGTATCTGCACTCCTCCAACTTTGTATTGCAACTGCTGCACAGCAATTTTCCCCCAGGATAGATAAAAGTTATCATATCTTATGTACTAAAGGTCTGGTTGATGTCTGGATGAGTGGCATATTAATAATGTAAGTGCAGGCATAATGTGGATGACATCTGTATTAAAGTGGCCAAGACAAACAGTTACACAATTACTATGTACAATACTTTCACTATACATATGTAGTAAGGTTTAAAGTGCTACAACATGCTACAGGATATATTTGTGATACTCATATGGCCGTAAACAAACAGCAACACCATTGACTGATCAGTATCGTTATTAGTAATCTCCCCTGGACACATCCCTGTCAGTGTGAGCTCCATTCAGACACATTTTTAGCGTCACTCATCCACGAGGAAGCTTCATAGAGGACTGTAAACACCACACGTTCATGCCGGCTCCTATCGTCAGGAGTTTAACACCAACTCAAAGCCACAACCTCAGGCAGTCAGTGAATTCACAGTTACAGTATCACATCCAGCTAAAGATTAGCAAGCTAGCATGTTAGCTGGTAAACTTACGTTAGACGATCCAGCTCGAACAATGGTGACTTCTTTTCTTTACTGTCTCACTAAAATAAAAACAATACGTGGATTAAAAAAACGGACGTCTGTGATTTAGGGTCAAACTGTACTATATCCAGGCGGGCACTACATTATCCTTTAACTTTTCTAAAACTTAGATTTAACTTCGATGGGAAAGAAGAAAAGCCCTGTGGTCGTACTAGCGTATGTGTTTTCGACAAGGAGCCAATCAGGAGACGACATTCAAAGATAGCCACGCCCCCAACAGCAGTCATTGGACCAATAGATTTAAATAGGAAAGAGATGACGTATAGTGATTATTAGGTTGTCAGGAGGTGACGGACAGACTTCATAATAAAAATGAAGTGTTGACACCCTTTAGCCTGTAAAGTGAACACACAGGAGCACTTCACCGCTGTGTTTCATTAAGGGAGGTGAGGATATAAAGTTCTCCTTTGTCTGACCTTAGAAAACACTCTCAATAAATTAAACAATGAGGTTGATTGTTCAAAACTGTATTTACTAATGCTTAGGGACTGTTCTTTACTTGTCAGAGGAAGGAGGTTGCTGGAGTGTGTCTTAGTCTTTTTTTATCCTCCTTAAAGCTACAGATATTTTTCCTTGAGCCTCTCTGGGTGACTGGTGGAAAATGCATGACTCCACCATAACTTAGTTGTTGAAAAAAGCCTTGGTTTTTCACTCTTATCGTGCATGCTGGTTCAGAGTCCTGCACCGGGGTACCCAACAGATATCCTGGAAGAAGTTGGGTGACGGGTAAAACTTGTTATATATATCCCCCTGAGACCCTGTGTCCTCATATGAGGACATCATATCCTGTGTCTCCACATATTGACTATGGAGGCCTAAGTGTGTCAGGTAGCAACAACTGAAACAAATGTTGTGTAATTATAACACTTATTATTACAAATGCGCATTTGACTTTGTTACACATATTACTGCTGTATAATTTCCCCTGTTACGTATATATAAAAGTTCATGGGTACGGGCATGGGTAAAAATGACCTACACGGGGCGTCAGTGGCTTAGTGGTAGAGCAGGCGCCCCATGTACAAGGCTGTTGCCGCAGTGGCCCTTTGCTGCATGTCTCTCTCTCTCCCCCTTTCACACTTAACTATCCTATCAATTAAAGGCAAAAAATGCCCTAAAAATATCTTTAACAAAAAAGAAATATATCTGTGTAATATTTTGACGTCTAAATCACTATTATCAAGCCGCAATTACTTTTATTTTGAAAGTCAATGACACAAGTTCAATCTTTAACCCCGTCGTCACATTTGTCACCAACAAGGACTCCAGCGATGAAACTTTGCAGCCTGAGGATGAGATGGCAGCCTACATCAAGTTCAAGACAGCCAACAAGGATTGTTTCAAAGTTTTATGGTGGTGGAAGGAGCATGCTCAAATGTTTCCTTACCTGGCAGTGATTGCGCAGAATGTTTTTGCCATCCGGGTATCAAGCACAGCTAGGGAAAGAGACTTTTCCTCCGCTGGATTTGTAATTCAAGAACGCAGAGCCCAGCTTGATGTAAGTGACTGTGGCCTGTGTGTGTTACATCACAGGTGCGGGTCAGGTCGCAGGACTTTTATTAACAGGCGTGGCTTTGACCTAGACACAGTGACAGGTAATGGGGGCACTGAGCTTTAAGGTATGGGCGGGAAGGTTTTTTAAAAACTGGACCCGTGCAGGATGCTGTGTGGGTTAGTTACTGCAAATGGTTTATTCTTGGCCAAGTTTTAAATGAGACGTATAATAAAGTAATTTATGATGAAATATCACTATATTAAGGTCACATTTTGGTTATTTATTTTATTTTATTTATTTATATTTTTGGAAATTTGAAATTCAATGATGATTTCTGTTTTTACAGTTTCTGGCTATGATAAATGGTGTAATTTTGGTGATTTTTAAAGAAAACATGTCTTCCATGTTGTCTTAAAAAAATCAGCAGTAAAAAAAATTACAAATACAACCATTCACATGCCCCTCCCCTGTGCCAGAATAAAAAACACACGTCCTTCCCCATTGCTTAAAAATTATGTGACATGCCTCCCCCTCCCCCTTACAAGTAACGAACAGTCCCTAACTTACTTACCCCTTACTCTTCTTTGGTCTGAGGTTTCACCCTCGTTACCTAGCAACCAGAGTCCGCCTGCACGCTGCCAGCCCGGCTCCAGACGTCCAGCGCAGGCTGCATTATTAATGATGCCACAGACATTAAAACCTGTCCGAGAAACCATATGGCAACAAAGAAAGAGACAGAAATACGGCAGATAGTTGTAAGATGATGTCAGGAGCGAGATCACGGCTGTGGATCGGATCAACTTAATGTCGCAGTGCTGAAGGACCAGTTCAAAACCCGGGTAAGTTCCCACCACAGCATCACAATATGAGACTGATGGTTTAGCAGCCCGCAGAATACAGACACTGACTTTTGATGAAGCGTTTTATGACAGTCTGACTCTGTGTAGTAGCTTATGTTACTTTATTGTAATGCCAGAGCTTTCACAACACTCCTCACTAGTGGTAGAAAAGAACTAAGTGCATTTACTCTAGTATCTGCTGTACTTCAGTGCACGTTTGAGACACTTCTCTCGAGTGTTTCCATTTTCTGCTACTTTATACTTATACTCCACTACACTTTAGAAGCAAATATTGTACATATTATTTTATCATTACATTTATTTGACAGATATAGTTTCTTTACTTTCAGATTGTCTCCAAGTCCTTAAAAAGTCTTACAGTGTCTTGATTCTAATTTGTAATAGGCCTTAAAAGTCATTAAATAGTCTTAAATTTGACTTTGTTAGTCAAGCTCTTCTGTGTCATTTCTGATGTTACAATTTTTTTAACCTACCACTGAACCTAAATATTTTATACTTACACATATTTGCTGGCAATTGTAAGTTAACCTAACTCCCTATTACTTAACTTTAAACTTACCTGCGATGCTTGAATAAGAAAAAGTTGATTTATCCAAAATTCAGTCATGAATTTGGTTTAAAATTATCTTAAAAGTTCTAAAAAAGCATTTAAGTGTCTAATACATGAAGCCACTCTGTTTCAGATTCTCACCGTACATAAACATGCAGCTCATATCAGCTTATAAAATATGACGCATTACCAACAGAATATTGACAACTCCCTCTGACATCTACAACATATAAAGGAATACATAATACTTTACACTACCTCTGATTTCTGCTGACAACCTGACTAAGATTTAAATGCAGAACTTTCCTTGCAATAAAATATTTTAGTATTTTGGGAATTGCTGCTCTCATATACGTAACCTTCGTCCACTGCTGTTTCTCACGCACACTTTCACCCGTAAACATCATTCACACCAACACCTTACACATGTCACGCAAACCTCTGCGCACACAATGCATGATTGTTAAATAATTGACAGGTTAGCACATTTTGATCCATTGTTGTCAGCTCAGGAGTAGCGTTGCTAAGTGATGAACAGGTGCTCCATCCTACTTTCTTACCCCCCGTCTTGACACAGGCGAAGACAAAGTGTCCATGGAGGGAGAACCAGAGGAGTCAGATGAGGACGTTAAGGGAGAGGACAAGCCCACGGTACTCTGGGAGAAGTGCATTCAACAGAGCATCTTTGTGGACCTCAGTGAGGATGAAAGTCTCCACCTCAGTGATCTGGAGAGTTCTTTAGCTTTGCATCTGTCCCGTGCAGGGTCTGCGGCCTCCGAGGCCAGCATCCATCTCAGTGGTGAGTCCTGGAGTCATCTGTTTCTCTGTTGAATTTTTATGGATGTTAAACTGGCTTATTTTATCTGTCTTGACAGTATACATCACATTGTCTGAATAATTATATGCATGTCTGACAACATTTCCGAAAGGATCCCTACAGAGATAGACCTTTTTGTAAAAGAGTAAGATCCTTTTTGTTTCACCAGAAACCACCCTGAAATCTCTATTGCCAAATTCACCAGACTCCATCTAAATAAACAGCAATTTAAGCATGTATAGAACCAGTATATTTTCATGTCTATTTTGAGGATTAAAGTTTTATTTCAATCAAACCAGAATTGGTGATTGGTGGAACAGTGGGAGGACAAACCAAGGCTGCTTTTCTGAGTTTTATTTTGTTTCTGGCGACTTGGAAGGAAGTGTGTTTTACAATGATAAAATTACTGTTTATTTAAATTGAGTCAGGTGTTTTTGACAATAGCGATTTTGGGGTTGCTTGTGGTCAAACCCAAAGGATTTTACTCTTTAAAAAAAGGTCTGTCTCCGTAGGGATCCTTTTCATAATATTGTCAGACACTTAGAATAAAAATCAGAGCCTGTCAGTAGCAAAAATGTGCATTAACGGAGCATAATTAACCCAAGTGGTTATACTGCAGCCTGTTTTGTAGCTGAAGGCTGCAGCCCATTTGTTTAATACTGGGCCAGTTTCAAAAGTTGTTGTTCCCATTAGTCATTTAGACACAAACATTTAAAAAAAAGAAGGTAAAATAGCATCCAGGTTGAAAAATACAGATGTTTTCCTTTAAATCCCTTTAATTTGTCATTTATGCTGATGATGTTCTTTAATATGCAGGGAGTGCAGAGCTGTCAGCCTTGGATGTCACTTCCTCGGAGTCCAGTGTTGTCAGCAGTCAAAGTGAGAGGGTGGTAGACAGCAAGACCAAGAGTAGCATATTGCATGTGTCCGCCCAAAGACCAAACACTATGCAAGATGAGCCACCCTTAAAGCAGCATCATGAGGACCGAGGGCAAGATACCAGCGACGAGGATCACGAGGACCTACCTTATGATGGCGACCTCGGAAGCCCTTACTTCAACCAGACAGCTGACTCTGGTCATATGAGCTCTGATGGAGGAGAAACGGTTCATGGAAGTCCTGATGTCCCTGCTTTGCTTGATTGTAACACAAGGGATAGAGATGATATTAGTGGACGTCTGGTTTCCATTGAGCGTAACGCTGAGAAACCAGCAATTTTCTCACAAGAGGATGCCAACATGAAACAGGACAACTGTTTTGATGCTTCCAACCCAGGTGAGGTTGGACCATCATGCCCTTATCCTTCAGACATTACCCAGGTGTTGCTGCGACACTTCTCCCAGGAGGAGCTGTTGCAGTCAGGTCGGCCAATCGAGGCAGAGACTCTGCCGGAGGTGTCCCTACTGGAGAGCGTGGATGACACAGTTTTTAGCTTGGCTCTGACATACAACAGCACAGCAATTAAAAGTAGCCACTCAGAGGGTCCTGCTTGTATTTCTGAGATTGATCAGAGTTTCTGCTCTGACAGGACAGATGAAAAATCTGCATCAAAAAATTCAAGTTTAGAGAAAGAAGAAGAGAGGGGAATTGATATTGTCACTTCTGCTGCTTCTAGCGGCATTATATCCAGCCCTGCGAGTACAGACTCAGAGCAGGGCAGTGGCGATATGAGTGCTGCTGACGTAGAGGAGCAGGAAAAGGCTAAAGAGGATGATCAGGTTCAGAGAGTCCCACTTGTGCGCACAAGGTCCTTCAGTGAGATGAAGTACGGCCAAGGCCAAGTCCATTACCCCCTCCCTGACTTCTCCAAGGTTGCCCCAAAGGTAAAAATCCCCAAAGCTCCAAGTGGTCCACCCAAGCCTGTACCCCAGAGCCCCAGCACCGTGCACAGAGCCCAGTCCTCTCCAGGTATGTTAGATGTGATCAGCAGAGTCCTTGAGGATACAGTCCAGCCATCAGAGAAGCCTTATGTCTTCAAAGACCAGGACAAACAGACTTCTCCAGCACTGGCGCATCACCTGCAGGTAGAAAACAGTCATTTCAGTGCACCTGTGCACTTGTATTTCCTTAAACAGAAACAAATTTTAATGTGCATACGACGTGCGACTAACGTGTCTTATTCCATATTTCTTTAGGCTGAATATGATGAATTAGTAACCAAAAAAGCTGAGGCAGAAAACCTAATCGATCAAATGAGAATAGAAACCAACGTAAGTACAAAGTTTCTTTTACACAACCTAAATCATGAAGGCATGTGAGAAATCAGACATAATTTTTTCACTGCAAGTTACAGATTTATGGATGTATTTTCACAGGCTCAGCCCTCCTCTAAACTGATGCTTTACTTAGAGTGTGATGATGATGATGATGATGATGATCAGGGGAACTTAGTTGAGGGAAGCCATCTTGGTCCCGTGGCTCCTCGCCTTCCCCCAACAGGTACGTCTCTGTGTCTGACATCTGATATTATGACAGGTCAAAGCTTTGCTTCACTACCTGCAATTTGCCCAGTGAAGTGCGGCTGGTTTCCATGGAGATAGATGGGGTCAGATGACAGTATTCTAGTTACACAAACATATTCACTTTGCTGCTGGAGCACGTTAGTCAAGTGGGAGACAGTGGCTGTAAAGTGGACAATCTAATTAGACTTAAATATTTCAACTTTTATTTCTGTCATATTTTTAAATGGTAAGATCGTCAGTAACTGTACGCATAATATACACATTTTTATACTTCACAAATTAACAAATTCTTTGCATGAGTACACTGAAAGTATAAAATATCAGCTTACACTCCTCATCAAGTATGCCAATGAGGTAAAGACATGTATGTAAAAGAGTGATTCTTTTTATTTTATTTTAATCCTGTCTATTATTTTATTTATAAGTTTTCCGTCACAAGAATACAGATATCTTTTTTTATTTTATTTTTTTCATTAACAGATGCTCAAATTACAGTGCATGAGCAGTTCCAAAAATGTGTCAGGTTTCCATTCATGCATTTGAAAATATTATTTTAAAAAGAAAATGTAAAAGTAAAAGGACAAAAGAGGCAAAAAACAAAACACAAAAAATACACACACACACACACACACACACACACAAAAATTAAAGTTCAAGCATCTCAGGGTCTTGTTCACAAGTGAGGGAAGAATGCAGCGTGAGATGGATCAGCGGTTTGGTGCGGCGTCTGCAGTGATGCAGGCGCTGTGCCCGACCGTCGTGGTGAAGAGGGAGCTGAGCCGGAAGGCAAAGCTTTCGATTTACTGGCCCATCTACATCCCAGCCCTGGGCCCCGCCTTGGGGTCCCCCAGGAGGAGCTGGAAAAAGTTCCGGGGAGAGGGGTGTTTGGGATGCACCAGTTTGATAGTTGAGATTAAGATGTGGAAGACCCAGGATCGGGTACATGTTGCTAACAATGCTTTGTTAGGTGTGTATCACTACAGCTCTGCTTTGTGTTTCAGAAAGCTTTGGTGAAACAACCCCCCAAAGCAACATGAAGGAAATGAACACAGCTTCCTCCAGCCAGCCTGAGGAGGGCCCCAGTGACGGAGACACAATGACTGCTGAGCTGACGGACATCGTCAGCCAGTTCCTGCAGACGGTAAGTTTGAAGATGTGCCAGGATGTTAGTCGGCTGCCATTAAATGAACAAAACCATCTATAAACCTTCTTCTGTTCAGGTGGAAGAGTTCAAATTGAGTGTAAGCAACATGTCAGTCAACACAGCAGAACAGCAAATGGTAAGAACTGTTCACTTCCTTTGTATGTAGTTTAGATGTTTTATAATGTAATGCACGGGCTATGATAATATGGGCTGGAACATCACAGGTGCATTTTTTTCCTTCTGCATGTGCATAAATGTAAAAATGTGTCCATTGTCAGATGTTGAGGAGCATGATGGAGGCTCAGGACCAACTGGAAAGAAAATACATCAGTAAGAAGGAGGAGCACAGAGCTCTGGAGATGCAAAACTACATGGGCTTGTCCAGGAACACTGGCACCTTTGATCCAAACAGGTTAAAGAGACACCGCTATATCACCTATGTGAACGTGTCAGTGTCATGTTAATGCATCCATTCATGTGTGTTCGTATGTGTGTGTTAAAACGAGTGCAGGTTGGTGGAGGGAGACATATTCAGAATAGGGATGCTCCTTGAGGACATAAAGGAGATGATAGATAAAAACGTGTGCGAGCAGATTTCTCCACCGCCTTCATCCTCCACTCCAACACCCATGAAAGAGATGCTGCATGTGAAGCTCAGTCCTCTCTGCATGACCACACCCTCACCCCCACCATCTCTGCATGAGGTAACCAACTCACAAACACAACCATAACCTCACCAACACTCACACACCTTCACAAATTTTTGCCACTTTAGCAGCCGGCTCTAGGACTGGCACGTTATTCAATCAACCACTCGGTCCACAGTGAGATATGAAAGGTTCCAATAAAATTTCATAGTGATCCCTAATTTTGTTTTTAATCAACTCATCCTTGAGTTTCCCCAGCAGAGCTTATGTTACTATATGATGATGATGATGATGATTTTAAGATATAGTAATGAAGAATACAGTATGTAATCTCACTGGAATGTACTACATCTTATTAAAGATGTTCTAAGTGGCTCTATTACAGTGCACATTTACTTATTTTGATATTATGTACCAGCACATTCTGCCATGAAGCAATCGGCCACTATCTAACCCTAACTTTAATTTAAGCATCTAAATAGCAAATGCACGCACACATATAATGAACAGGATAACAACATAGAAAAATAACTTTGGGGGACGCCCAGTAGCTCAGTAGGTAGGGCGGGCACCCCATGCACAAAGGCAGCATCCCTGCCGCAGCAGCCATGGGCTCGATTCTAGCCCACGGCCCCCTACTGCATGTTATACCCCTCTCCAAGCAAGCTGGTGACCAGCAGCACCAGGTCTAACCTGTGTAACAGCAGCAACAGAAAGTTTGATGATCTGTGAGCAGTTGGGGCTGTCTGGTCCCTGGAGTTGCGATGTGTGCTGGCTGGATTTTGGGTACTGTGGCTGCTGACTTGGGGTCCATATCCAGAGCTCCTGTCAGTTCTCCTCCAAGCAAGGTGAACTGTAGTGGTGCAGAGTGAGACACTGTGATTCAAGGCTCTAGCCAACGTTACCTACATAAACGTGAACTCTGCTCCTGTTAGCAGAGTGCTAAACTATTAGCAACACTTTCTCTCCATCTTTGGAACACTTTGCCGATACTGACATGTTTTATTTTGTTTATTGTCAGACTCTCTTTGAGACTCTGTCTTTGATAAGTCCATCTTCCTTTTTTGAGTTGCTTTGTAGTGTAGGCAGTTGATGCTCATGATGGAATAGCAAATTTCTCTGCAGGATTCGCCACCACTGATCAGGCTTTCACTGAAGGGACGTGCATGGGCATTTACATTAATAGCACAGGCAACAGGAACGCCCTCTTTCGGAAATGACCCGTGATTGGCCAAAGTCTCTGTCACATGCTAGATTTCTAAAGCCTGAAAACAGAGACAAGAGGAGATGCAGAAATCTGGTGTTCTTTCAGTCCACATGAATAACAATATAAACCAGAACTTACAATGAATAACAATATACTTTGTAAGTTCTGGTTTATTACCGGATTTTTGCCCAATGCCGCCAAAATAAAACGGCCTACTTGAGTTTTAAAGGTCCCCTGACTTTTCTTTTGGCACAAGCAGAGGGTTATTTTTGGCTCAGAGTGCAATTTGTAATAACTGTGGTAAGCCCCTGACTTTTTCTCTCGTACCACCATCATGTCAAAACTTTAATTTATCATTTTAGTTCCTAACCTTTGATGTTTCATCAGCCTCAGCTTTACTTCAGTCTGTTTAGTGAGCAAATGTGTGCATGTTAACATGTTGAACTAAGCACATGAACATGGTTAACATAATACCTGCTAAACATCAGCATGTTACAGTGCCATCGTGAGAATGTTGGCACTTTCAAAATGCCTGAATACAATATGTCTAATGTTTATGTAACATACTCCGGCCTTCAGAAGCTAATCTGTAGCATCCATGCACCTTCATCTGTGATAAACTCTTTCCTGAAGGAAATTCTGAGTGTGCATGTGCGTATGTGAGTGTGTGTAAGATCACAGTAACCGCAGTTTGTCTGACTGGGTCTCATGTTTCAGGGTCCAAGTGCAGGTTTTTCCACTGTGGGTTATGAGATGGAGACACGGAAAGAGGAAGAAAGGGAGGAGGAAGTGGAGGACGTCAGTGAGATCCATGGAGATGATGGATTGCAGTGGAGCAGTGAACTCATAACAACTGACTCTTTGCTGAAATATACTCGCCATAGCTACTGCCAGTCAAGGTATTTGTTAAAATATTGTAAAAGCTGCAATAATATTTAATCTTTTATATATATTTTTAAATTTTCATAATTGTGAATAATGAATATCTTTAGTTTTTAGGTTTTAGATATATTAGTTAATCAGCTGAGTGAAACACCTCTGCTCTTGTAAATTATTTGGTCAAACAAGTACTGGTGTTAATTCTGTACGGGAAATTGAAAGTGGCCAGGATACATAAATATAAAACACCACTGTTGTTTCACTGCCACTATTGTGTCCAGCTATTGATGTTTTGAGTGGTGCTTGCATGCTTGTTTGTGCTCAAATAATAAGCACGTTCTCAGCCCTCCCACAGGCAGATAGTGTTTCAGGTGCAGTGTTGGTGTTAGTTTCCACCGAGTGTTCGAGTCGCTGTGTGCAGGCTTTCTTCTCTGTCCTGTTTCAGGAGCTCACGGGGCTCTGTGGAGGGACTGGAGATCCAGACAGCTGAGGCTGAAGAAGATAGGAGCGCATCTGAGGCGATAGATCACAGTGACATCTTAGCATACTTGAATGGAGGCGGTTCATCCTCAAGACGGAGGCAGTGGACACCTGACAGGTCAGTGATATTAAAATCTTGGCCATATAAAAGAGCTGACTGTGACTCAGTTGGCTCGCTGTTGTGGTTTCTCCATACTGGTTTGCTCTTAAATAATGTATCACTCACACAAGTAATCCATCATGTAATCCTGTCACAATGTAAGTGAGCTACTTTTGCATACTGTGTGTTCTGTTAATCTAGAAACAGGAAGCATCTCTTACTACATTGTGAATTTTTGCACATCCCCTGTTCAATATGTTTGCATATCCTGCACAAAACTTGCATTAGTAATTTATCGGATTCTGATCTACTGTACCACCCTACCTTACTTGTTGTTGTTGCAGTCATAGCATCCCTGATAGCGTCCCGAACCCGGTGGGTGAATGTGATCAGGGTGATTCTGTGAGTCTGGCTGTGGAGGTCTCGTCTTCCTCTAATGCACCCGGAGACTCAGACACCCACAGCCTCTCGGAGCCTCCTCTCAACACCTCATCTGTATCACAGGTCAGTCACAGATTGTTGGTTAGTTTGACAATTTTAGTCTAATGTTTGTTGATTTTCAGGGATGCTGATTAAGTTTCAGCAGTGTGGAGGATGTGTAGGCTGCTTTGTCTTAACTGTTGTTGGGGTTTCTGGGGTGCAGAGGATTGTGAGTCCAGAGACAGACAGTGGATTTGGGAGCTCTTACTTGAATCAATCAGCCTCTGGAACGTTTCAACCAAATCTACTCACAGAGAGGTACAAATCAATATTTTTTTTTTTTAAGGGACAGTTTAACCCAAAATCAAAAATGGATATTTGGACCACAGTTACTATCTATATTTCACATGGGTCTAACTTGAGAATAAACCCTGTTTTCATCCTCCCATCTACAGTCTGCAGTCACCGAATGATGGTCTAAGTAGCTCAGACAGCGAGGGCTCTGGCTCCAACTTGCAGACAGCTATCCACCCTGTCACCCAGCGGTGGGCCAGTCCGCACCCGTCTCTCCAGTCACAGTCCTGTGGTGCAGCAGCAGCAGTGGAGCGGTGGGTGGAGAGCACCACTAAAGAGCCTTCAGTCAGGCTGCAGGGTGAGTTAATCTGTCTGCATGAGGAAGTTCTGTTTTTTATTCCATCTTATCTGGTCAATACTGAAATGATGAACAGTTTTCCCCCACTGACTAACAGGACCTGAACGCAGTCTGCCTGCCCAGCTCCATCACCACATATCTGAACCTGTTCTCTGCAATACCATGGACACAGAAGAAAGAGGCAGCCCACCGTACTCATGCCCGTGTAATAGGTCGGTATATATGTGCTCAGGAAGCAGCCGCTTTGGTAGTTTTCTCCATAAATTCAACGCTAAACAAAAGATAATTTTAGGTAGTATGTATTAACAGTTGCTTCTTCTCTGCCAGTACACAGTGATACACATTTGATTATCTGTGTGTGTCTTATGTGTGTGTTTAGTGAGGCTATCCTGGCCTTACAGTCAGAGGTATCCCGGCTTAAGAAGGACCTGGAGGAGGGCTTAGTCCAGCTGCCTCATCTAGCACAGAAGATGGACTATCTCACCTCCAAATACAGGCAGGAGCGTCAGGAGCGCAGGTCTAAAACCAGGTCAAGGACCCACCACAGATCAGGCTGCAACAGGTGAGGAGCTGATCCTGCAGGCTGGAGGAAATGGAGGATAGTGGACACAAACACACATAAAAAGTCAAATGCAGATGCTGAACATCAAATGATAGATCATGTTCTTACCAATTAATCATTACAGAGTCATTGTTATGACCCTTTTTATTATAACCTCTAGTGTGTGGAAGCCATCGAATAGCACACAGAATGTGAGTGATCTTAGTTCCAGTCAGGTGAAGACAGAGGACTGGATCTCGTCAGACATGGACCCCAGCAAGAGCAAAGGTACTCCATGTCTCAAAGTGTTTATCTATATTTGTATATGTGTGTTTCCTTCATCATCTACTATAGTTCTGATTATTTACTCTCTTTAGGTACAGACAGTGGTGACACAGCTGGCTCCGAGATCATGTTGCAGTCCCACAATTCGCCTGTAGGGAGCAGGAGAGGCAGCAGCAGTGTGCGCTCCTCACCTGAGTTTCAGTATAAACTTAATGGAGCACAACAGTCCAACAGAGGTAATAATCACAGCTGTTTTCCACAGTATAGTACAGTACTTTTACATAGCATGTCATTTACATGCATGTTATTCTCTGTCAGGGTCAGAGGGAAATGGCTCAGTGAAAACTTTTGGTCTGACCAGCTCGATTTTAAAAGGAGGGACAGCTTCTGACAGCCATGCCAAGCTGAGACAAAGTGAGTGCTCTGATGTTTGTAACATCAACATTTCGGTGTTATTGGTATTGATAAAACAGTAAATATGGCAGTTATTAACTTTATTTTTCCATTATAGACAAATTGATATCAGAGTATATTGTATACTAGAAACACACAAGAGTAACAGTGTCCAGAAGTCATCCCTTATAACTTCAAAATAAAAATCAGGGCTGTAGATATGTGCAGTATTGTGTTTTATTGGTTTACATACTGTAGTGCCGCTTACTGTATGTTCCCTTGGTCAGCAGCCTCCACAGAGAGGTTTTACTCCAAGGAGAGGTGGTCTCTTTTCTCCTCTCCATCTCTTCAGAAGCCCCTTCTCCAGGTCAGCTACGGCTCCTCCAGCAGCCTGCCTGCAAGGTAAACACATCACTGACTGGAAGCAGACAGACATTTATCAGCAGTTTCCCAAATAAAGTTGGCAAATGACAAAGCTCTGTTAAAGTGGAATCATTCTCTAGCGCTGTTTGTCCTCAAATGCAGCTACAAAGTGAGGGAGCCGCCTCTGCACTCCATGTCCCATCACAGAAAGCACTCCACCCAGTCAGACACGGCCCTCCTGCCCAGTAATGTGTACTTCCAGCGGACGCCGTCCCCAGCGTCAGCGCCTTCAAAGACTGGCAGCAGAACAGGAAGACGCAGAGGGAGCAAGGTGAGATGTTTGATCTCTTCACATGCATGCAAGGGAGCATATGAAACTGATGGATTGAGGGGTCCTTTGCCACAAAATTTTGAGCATCACTTAATTTCCTGCATTCAGGTGAATTTTATACACTGAATTGTCTTTGATTTTATCAAAATAAAAGTTCTCTGCTACTGCCATGTTTTTTATAAGGGGGACGAATGTACATGTTCTAAATATTATCCTGTGTCCCCCCCAAAATCTATTCCCATGCATGTCTGACATTTTAGAGATCCTCCCTGCATACAAGATATTTGTGGTTGCAGTGCCATTTTTTTATGTTCAGCCCATGGTAGAGTGTGCTAACTGTTTTCTAGGAGGAAGACATGAACAGGACTCTAGACCAGGCTATTGAGGTAGCCCGCAACATGAAGAGGACCACCGACCGAATGGCCAAGAGGCTGTCAGCTGACCTGGCTAAGGCTCAGCTCCACAGGAAACTGCACCACATGCAGCCACTAGAGGGCAGAAAACACCATGAATTATAACAAACAGTACAGATCAGTTTACTCTGTAATCATAAACCTGCCAGTCGCTGTGACACCTGATGCCTGTGTAGAATACATCTCTGTTAGATGATGAGTTATTTAAAGAGTTATTGATTTATATTTTACATGGTTGTATGTTTGTGTATTTATACATATTAAAGTGAAAGCACACTGCAAAAATAAAAATTTGATATCATAAACTTTCCATTACATGGTAAGGTTTGGGGATTTTTTTAAGCAGATTGACATTTTGTTTTTGAGTTTCTTTGCATTTTTATTTAAAAAATCATCCAGCATCTCAGTTTTATTCCCATCAGTGTGCAAGATTTAACCAAAAAACATGATATATCCACGACAGAGGAAACATTTTTGCAATATGGGCCAGTTGTGACCTTTAGGAGGGAAAAAATCAGTCACAGTACAATGCAATAAATATAAACTTTATCTTTTCACAATTCTCCGTATCAGTCACCCAACCCTCTTGTTTTCTGTACATTACACCTGCTCCCCAACTCTTCGCTATCCAGTGCACACAAGCAGCCACAGGGGAAAGAGATTAAGTTAAATCACACTAAAAGTAGGTCAGATTTGAAATCTTACATTTCAGGAAAATCCCTCTCTGTCCATACTTTGAGTATCAGCTTTGGCCTTTTAGCTAATATGCTCATCTGACGCCTCTAATGCATGGCCCTGCTGGCCTGTGGCTGCAAGTGTCACCTTACTGAGTTTCTGTCGGAGGGCTTTGTCGCCATCACAGCCTGTTGGTGCCAAGCTGCGTTCACTTTTTGTTTGTTGGGTGTTGAGTTTCATTGTTGTTCTGGAGGGGGGTATCAGGGAAGACGATGTGTCCAAACAACATTCCTGAACTGCTCCCTGTGATTGTTTGGAGAATAGATGATCCTCTCGGTGTTCACTAACCTGTAGGCCATCAGCAGGGCAGACAGTCACAGTGTCTTCTCAAACAGAGCAGTTGATCTCTCACATTTAGACACAGAATCACCCCCACGGATCACTGAGTGTCTGAGACAGCTCAGGGTCACAGTCTAGACGAAACATTTCAGTGACTCATGTTGAATGCGTAATAAGCCATTTTTAGTTTACACCGCTGTGATACTCTCGTAGACGTTTCAATGCGTTGTTTTTCTCCTTGATACCGACTCCAGGATGTGATCACACTCATTGAAAGCACTCATTGAAAAGCGACAACGGAAACAAAGCGGCAGCAATTTAAAGTAAGTTTCCAGAATGCAGCGTTCTGGAGATATTCTAAACATAGTCGATAAACAGTGTATTTTCATGTTGCATACAACACTGACAACCTATTCTATAGATAAATTACATCATATCTGTGCATGGAGTTGTTTATTTGCCGGTGCCCAATCCAGCATTTTAAAGTATCAGGCATGTCCGATACTGTTGTCGGTACAACTCTAGACACTGTGCAGACTTATTACAAATGATCAGCAGCACTAGTTATGGAAAACGATGATTCTTTGTGTGAATGTTAAAACTGTGTGCCAAATTCTGGTCTTTGGTTTCATTCCCCCATGACAACACTGGATATTCTCACTCCCAACTCTTCAAATACTGATGCTTGGTCAGTGGCCCTACACTTCTTATGACGCTCTGGGTACTCCTCTAGCGTTCTTTTTGGATGTGTTAAGTTTAGGCTTGTCACATGTATACAGGGTCTTTTCAAAATAAAGTGTTCACAGGAAATGTGGGTTTTTGGCACCAAAGCTACTCGGTTAGGTTTAGGAAAAGATCATGGTTTGAGTTCAAAAGACCCAATTATCAACCCTGACCAACCTCCTCCTCACATGGACTTTCTCGCTTTCAGTCAGTTGCTCTAAGGTTTACTATAAAGTTAGTGAAAGCCAGGTGCACCTCATACAGACACTAAAGGGTGCCTTGTGCATTGGTATCCAAAGGGCGTCAGAATCTGGATAACAACTGGTTGGGAGGAGCAAATGTTTATCCCACATTAAAAAAAACAAACAAAAAAAAAAACATGATTATAAAAGAGAGACCATTACCTACCTCTTTTCCCTTTTTTGCTGTAGGGGGAAGTCCCCACTTAATTTAAAGTGCTGTCTATTTCTTTTCTTTTTTTTCCTCCTGACCAACGACACACAGCTGTGGAGTTGTGGAGGGTTACAGGCCTTGCTCGAGGACATGTAAGTGGTGGGTACCCTTTATGATTTAGAATGAAAAATACTGTTGTTGAAGTATTAGAACTAAACCATGTTACAGCTAACTATGTTAAATCTGCTCATTACTTCTTTAAAGTGCCCAGTATAGACATAAACCAGATGGCAGATGTGAAGGACTTGATTAGATTATTGTGGTCATTATATCAAACTAATTATTAAACCATTCATTCTTATACAGAAAGACATTATGTTGTTAGGTGAAGTAACAACAAAAAGTTCTGAACAGTAATCTAGGGGTCTCATTTATAAAACAGTGCATAGGATCCATACTAAAAATGTACTTGCGATAAAAAGCCAAAAATGATGTGCACCAAAAAGTATTTGACAATTTGTAGATCAGGTGTCCACCTCACCATCTGCGTCACCAATTTCCTGTCTCCAAAATGTAAATGTAAGCATGGGTCAAAGATTCTCCCATCAGGTCTGTTTTTTTTAAATCACAACTTTTCCGTGGGAAGTGGCGCATACCTCTTTCAGGCCTTGTTTTGTGCGTGTGCAGTGTTAATAAATGGAGCCATAAATGTGGATTCATTTAAAGGACGAGTTCATGATTTTTCAAGACTGTCTTGAAACAATACTCCCATACTGACTGTACATTGAAAGACCATTTCATAAAGGGAATTTTGTAATAAAAAGACTAAACTTTGTGAGAAAGAAAGATTTGACTAGCCCACATTAACCTTGGAAAACTGTTTAAATGAAATAATCATCTACAGACTTCAAACTTTGACTCTGCTCAAATTACGGCTGCCTTTTTTCAGATCTTGTTCTAATTGATTGGAAATGCTCTTAACTATATATTTAGTACATAGATTGTTTAATGTCCTGTATTTTAACTTTTAGCTATTAAACATTGTTATTACTGACTGTCTTTTTTTTTTTTCCAAAGATTATTTTTTTCTGGCTTTTTGCCTTTAATGTTCAGGATAGAGTGAAATGGGGAGAGAGAGAGAGAGAGAGAGCAGGGGGTGACATGCAGCAAATGTTTGCAAGCCGGAGTTGAGCCTGCGACCGCTGCGGCAAGGCATCGCCATTGTACATGGGGTGCCAGCACTATCCACTGCGCTACCAACGCCCCTACTGACTGTCTTTTTGTATGATTTTATTTGTTAAATTGATTTGCAAATTGATTGTTCATTTGAACTTATTTTAGGTTTGCTTTTTTTTCTTTTTGATGTCTTTGTCTGTGCCCCTCAACTGACTCCCTGAGTCTTAAATAAAGGTTTGAATATATTTTTGTACAAACTGGATTTCATGTCCAATCACTTCCATTGACAATGTACATATGGAAATGCGAGTACTGTTGTGAGAGAGACAAAATGTGAACCTGTCCTTACAGGATACAAAACAATTGGAATCTTAACTTGGAGTTTTATCATTCTTTGTTCGTTGAATCTAAAGGTTTCTAAATGGTCAGTGACACGTAAGAGTTATTTGCATCCTTGACTGTGTATTGAAGCACACTGCACTATTATCTATACACAAACAATTACTCTGGGGATTTGGGGAACTGGACACGGTTACGTTTTGTTCTTTGAACTCTTTCAAAGCAACAATTATCTCATTTGTGTAGAGTTGTATTTGATCGTCTCTTTTCTTTTGGCCTTTAAGCACAAAAGAGTTGATCTGGTCCTCTGGGATCCTCCCTGCCCATCTTCATAACACACACCTGACGCAGATACTTGGCCACCGGGGACAAGACAACATATTATTATACAACCTTTGTCGCTTAAACTGAAACTATCTGCACAGACAGTTCTGTACATGCAGTAACTTTAGAGTATGGTAAAGTTCCCTGTAGTGAATCCCAATGTATGGAGTTACAGTTATCCAAAAAGCACGTTGTGTGTGGTTACATAAGTGAGCTTGTTTCTGCTGGATTGTTTTGTTTGTCAGTATTGCTGAGAAAGTGACATTTGACCTCAGCTGACTCGGACGCAGATTCATTTACTCATCAGAGAAAATAAATACTTTATTGTATACAGTCAAGGGCACCTACGCAGCAAATGTCTTAAATTGTAAATGCTATACTTTTCTGACATCCAACATCCATATCTACACTGACAATAAACAAATATCAAAGAAGCAAGATTAGTGGCTTAGCAAGGTATGTTGAGTCTACGGCCACCCTACAAAGGTGGCCCTCTTTTAACCTGGTAACTTGTGCAGCAAACCTAACATGGTCAGGACCAGTTTATGTTCCGAGTTTCAGCTTGAAATCAGCTGAAAAGCTCCTTCCACAGCTCCTCTGAGAAGTGTTATTCTGTAGTGAATGTAATTGTTTGTGAATGTATTGTTTTATATTATTTGCAAGGCTGTTGCTCTCAGTGTTCTCTTGTCCCTGTGTCCACACTGGCTCTAAAAGAAGCCTTCAATAAAGGCACAGGTAGCGTACACTTCACCATATTATTAATCAGGATGACGTTTTTATGCTTATGAAATGTGATATAATTCCTGCAAAGCACTGTAACGTTACCACAGGTTTTATGCTTGATCCTGATTTGCTAAAGTCCATTTAACACTGCAGGTCAAACTTCATTTAAAAGCCCAGTTCCTTTTAGTAGCCTGGTGTAGCTACACATTTTGACGAATAAAGGCCTGTCTCAATTAGAGGCCCGGTCTGGTTACCAGACAGTTCATTTTTATAGAAGTTCTTTGGATGTATAAAACCGTATTGTTGACTACCCACTTGAGCTAACATTAATTGGCTGCTTAGATCGAACATAAACATATAAACGTTTAAACTTTTGCCAATGTGGAGATGCTACACATTTCATTTTACTGAAACCATGAGCACCGGAGAAGACTGTAAGTCATTCAGATTTACCAGCATGACGAAAAAACACGTGGTGACTCCATTCTTCTGAAGCTGTCAAAAAGTCAGAATAGGTGCCAATTCCTTGATTACCCAGTAATTCTTTTTATATTTCTTTAGTCTGTAAGGGTCCACCAATCAAAAGAATCGAAAGTGTTTTTCATGAAAATAAATCCAAGTTATAAAATACTGTTTTAACAGGATGAAGTGATGTTGTGTCGGTATGCTGAGTGCCGTTATCCTCGAGTGCCATGAAACAAATGCCATAACATAACACATAATACCTTATTCGAAGCCTAATTTCAACTTTGCTGAGCAACAGTTTTGTGTAAAAGGAATTAAAGGCCTATCCCATATAGATGCCTGTCCATAATGAGGCCTGTTGAGTTCAGTGATTAAAGCAAATAATAGCCCAGGCTACTAATTGAAGTTTTACAGTATTACAGCTGATAAAACACTGATTAAAAATTGATTTGTCTATTAGTGTTTACTGCAGATAATAGCCTATTCAGTCAGTAAAATTTTATTTCACTTTAATTTGACCCAAAGTTTAATTGATTTCCATGTCTCCTTCATTATGGGACAGTACATGCAGCTCTTCAGTTTAATGTTAAATCTGTTGCATCAAGTTTTAAGTTTCAGAGCTGCAGAAAGTGGAGCTGTTGTGTTGGAAATAAATGGAGCAATAAAATAAATTCAGTATTCCTCTGAGTTCACATGATTAGTAATATTAATGAAAGCAATACTCTCTCGTCTTAACTGAAGCAGAAGTAGGCAGCACACAATCGATCATTTTAAAGTGTTTTATAGGAGGGCCCACAGAGCCTGAAGCAGTAAGCCTCGGTTAACAGAGCAAGTTGATAACTACCTTAGTGGTCCCCATTATCTCTGACTGAGGCTTTAGGGTTTGCTGTGCAAGCTCAGACAAAGACAGCCTAGCTCGCTTTAACGGGCTTCGTGGTGCAGCCCTCAAGTGTGTATAGATTTAAGATCGACAAATGGAGGGCAGAATGACTAATTGCTTAAAAAGAGGTATATCTGTAACAAGATGTAACGGATGTGGAAACCACGAGAGATCAAATATTGTTTGGATGAAACCTTAATCAGGCCATAAAACTGCCTCCCAGACACAGAAATGGGTCATCACTTATCAAGTTATCTTTTTGTGTAACGTGTAATGATGGATGTTGCTCAACTGGGGTGTTAGGGTAGCTTTCTCGTGGTGCAAACACTTCAGACTACAACACAGAAATTAATTTGTACCATTTTTAAAGACAAGGTTGTAAAAGTAAAAAAGTTTTTAACACAATTGTTTTTTATCGACATCCTCATCATCTAACAAAGATGAGCTCCTTCCTCTCGCTCTGATCGGCCCCCCAAACACCCCTGTGGGGAGGAGTTACAGCCTCTGGGCTCTTTGGTATTTGCTGAAACAATAAAGGACCTGTCGTTTCATCTGAGAGAGGGAGGGAGGGAGAACACAAAAAAAGAAGTCAAATTTAAGCCTGAGCTGCTTCCCTGAAGTCATTTTGAGAAACAGCATCACACGTCTTGCCTCCAGGCAGCAGGGAAACGCTGACGGCATGGGAACAATACAGTTAAAGATGCTGAAACTTTTGCTTTTATTTACCTTCACCGAGGTAAGAGGTGGTCATTTTCTCACTGTGCACTAATTTTCTCTTAAATGTTTTAACAAAAAGCCACAACAAAGTATGATTTTAACATAATCAGTGTATGTAGTTGATATGTTTTCCTATTTTCAAGACATATCCAGATAAATATTACTGTACAGAGGCAAGACTTTTATGAACACAGGCTCTTTTGAGTGTCACTGCTTTCAACAAGTGCGTGTGGCATGCCCAACCTTAGCTCAATAGACAAATTCATTCCGACCTGAAAGAAATACCAGCGCTGTGACCAGTCCTGAAATCTGTGTTGAGTGAAGGTAATGTGCAGCCTGCTGCCTCTCATGCGCCGAGAACATGATACAGGCATTATATGCTGAGGCATAATTTGCCCCAGGATATAATGTGAAATACCAGCAGCTTGCTACTCTTGGAATTATGTCCTTGTCTTGAAATACTGTATTTCCTGTTGTTTATCATTAGGTTGTTTCATTATTAACCTGCCATGTTTTGTCATTTTCAGATTTGTGCTGCTCAAAATGGTAAATCATCTTCTTTTACATTTGTCTTACTCGATGATCCCAAATTCTTACAATGTACAATATTCCTTAATGTGAAATTACCTTCTAAAAGTCACCCTAAAAGATTTTTATTCTATAAAGAAAGTTTCAAGGAATACTTCATCCCCAAAATAGCTATTTGTATATCAATTGCTAAGCTTGTGTCATGCGTCACAAATTTGTGACACAAGTTTTTTCTCACATGCCTCTACGGGGTGACTGAAGAATCCAAAAACGAAGGCAATTCTTGATGAATTAAAGTCGTAGGGGTCCAAGTTCAACTGCAAAACTAAATCAAAACATCGGTTCACAAAATGTCACACAACTCGTGCAGCATAATCCAGTCATATTCTCAGTACTTCCCAAACAGACAGTGCTTTTCGATGGGGAACTGAACTTAAAGTCAAACCTGTCTATGCTCTCTTCAAAGCCAGACTCCATTGACAGAAACAGTTGAACACGGGAGCTGCTGGTCTAATGCTGCCCCAATCTATTAACTTTGTTGGTGTTATTGTTGACTCTTTTTTTTAAGGGTTAGCTCAGATTCACCAAAGTCACACAATAACACAAACAAACTAGAGGCAGCGGTGGACCAGTAGCATCCGTTTTCAGTTAAGTAAAATTACTGTTTTTGTCAATGCTGTCTGGCTCTGATCTATAAGCATCTATGAATTTCACAAGTTGTGTGAGAGTTTGGCAACGGATGTTTTGATATAGTTTTGCTGTTGTTAAATGCAGACCCCTTCTACTTCAATTCATCAAGGATTTTCACAGTTTGTAGATTCTTCATTCACCATAGTGACATGTGAGAAAAAGAAAGTTTTCTTCATGAATTCCCCATAACAGCGTATGTAATTAACAACACATGATCATTTTGCTAGCACTGTTAGCAGCTGTTAGCATTGTCACCTCAAAGCAAGAGGGTACTCCAGCTTCCTCCCACCATAAAAAGACATGCAGGTTAATTGGTGACTCTAAATTGTCCGTAGGTGTGAATGTGAGTGTGAATGGTTGTCTGTCTCTATGTGACAGCCCTGTGATAGTCCGGAGAGACCTGTCCATGCTGTACCCCGCCTCTCGCCCAGTGTCAGCTGGGATAGGCTCCAGCCCCACCGTGCCCCTCACAGGATAAGCGGTTACAGGAAACCAATGAATGAATGAATGAATGGTCATTCTGGGAGTAAAGTATTCTTTTAAGCCATCTCTTCTGAAACAACCCAAAAAAATGCACATTTTATTAGCATGTGATGATTTTTTAACCTGCAATACGAAAACCTGTAAATCCTTTTGAATGTACCCCATTGTTTTCTTCTCTATCTCCGTCAGACATCACTCTGTCAGTGTTTACAGTCACATCTAAGAGTATGACAGTACAGTGGAGCGGCTACACCGGCGCCAGCTCCTACAAGATCACAGCGACACCCAAGAGCTCTCCGGAGCAGCCCGTCTTTGCTCAGTTCAGTGGAAACTCTGTGATGGGCTCAGTCAACTCCCTGTCACCAAACACAGTGTACACCATGCAGCTCGAAGCCATGGACAATGCTCTCAAAGTCCTCAGCAGTGCAGAGACAGAGGAGACAACAGGTCAGTGTTAACAGCACAGAGAGGGAAAGGAGAAAAATGAGTCCTGGTGGTGATTCAGATTGAGATTCACTGCCCACGAAGACAGACTCATTGTTTATTACATTTCATTTACAGTGGCAGAAGAAGTCCAAAGATTCTTCACTGCCGTAAAAGCAGCAATACTACATGTAACTTGTTGGTGAAGATTCTCAGTCATCCAGGTCATGGTAATCGTAAGTGCTATATCGTAGGCAACTGGACTTGCTTGCATTTCTTGAAGACGTTTCGCCTCTAATTCAAGAAGTTTCTTTAGTGCAAGCTTCTCCCGTGAAGACTCTTGGATGAGAGGCGAAACGTCTTCAAGAAACGCAAGCAAGTCCAGTTGCCTATAATATTGCACTTATGACTACTTGTAACATACTCCACTACATTATTATTGGATTATTAGTGATGCATCAGCAGGGAGCTAAACTGAACTACATTACATACTGTAGGGTAGTTTAGGTTGGTTGACAGGAAACCAATCTGCGATTCTGGTGACCGATTAATCTGCAAAATGCCAACCATCCTCTGATTCCAGCTCATCCGCTGTCAGGATTTGCTGCTTTTTTCTTTTTTATATCATTATAAACTGAATATCTTTGGACTGGTCAGACAAAGCAGACATCTGTGGACATCACATTCAGCTTTGGGGAGCTGTTAAGGACATTTTTCACAATTTTTAGAAGTTTAATTGACCAAACAATCAATTGACAAGGAAAATATGTTCAAAATTTATAAAATCTTTACGTTTAAATACATTTTGTGCCATAAAAAGTACAACATTTCTCTCTTAAATGTAGTGAAGTGAAAGTTAACGAGCTCAAGAAAAGTACAAATACTGAAAGTACCTGGTTACATTCAATCACTGCATTTATATTATATTTCTATATATAAGGAAAACAGAGAAACTGTTTTGACCCTTGGAAACCTACCACAGAGCTGTCTTTTTTAAGGGGGGACACAGGACGTTTATAGGGATATAGCAGATTAACATCACATGCCACATAGAAGTGGTATACATCATCTGAAAGCAGGGAACCTGGAGATTAAACTGAGGTACAGCTCAGTATGGCACGTTAAGTTTTTCTAGTCATAAATCTGTAATAATCATTGTGTTATGGCTAGGTACATATTCAAACTTTGAAAGTCTAGATGTGGTTCTCAACTGGGGATCTGCGGACCTATGGGGGTCCTTAAGGGAGTTCCAGAGTCCTCAGAAAAATGAGGTATCATTTATTTTCACTATTTAATTCATTTTAAAAGTGTGAGCTAAATGTGAGTAACAGTTATACCAGTGACTATTCTGATCATAGGTTGTACTTCATAGGTTTTCTCCTCAACTGTGGTTGACAACTACAGAATTCTGGTCTTAATCATATCTAACAATCAAACTATTTTCAGATGGCGGTCCTTGAGGCAAAATCTTATCAAATGGGTTGGGTTGATACCATTTGTTACAAGGATTAGGTGCAAAATTTTAGCATTTTTGACCATTTGAGAAATTTTAAAGATGGCAAAATGATCCCTCCAATTCCAGATTAAAAAATATAGTCATCATAAATCAACTTACTCTATTGAAAAGCATTTTATTTTGTTATCAATCTCACATTTTTTCCTATCATTGTGATTTTTCAGCTCCTGAGGTGCCCAGCATTGAACAGGCCTACTCCAAAAACAGCGACAGCATCACTGTAGAGTTCACAGAGGTTTCCGGGGCAACCAGCTACATCCTGAGGGCACAGTCGGAGACCGGCGATTTCTTCTCTGAGACCGTGGTGAGCGGCTCGCCAGGCACGGTGGAGCAGCTCCAGCCCTACAGAGACTACAGGCTGAGCGTCATGTCCGTCAACTCTGGGGGGAGGAGCCAGCCCTCGTACCCCATCGAGGCCAGGACAGGTACGGACAAAAAGTCTTCATACAAGAGTCCTAAAAACACTCGCTTGAGCATTTTAAATGTCACTAAAGTGATCAAAGTTGAGCTAACAACACTCACTGGGCACATATTTATGATTTTAACCACTAATAATGGATACAATTGAACAATAATGACCTTTTTCGCCCACTTTCACTTGTCCAGACACTACATTTCAGAAGCAGTTTATTCAAGATGGTAATCAGTGTATGAAAGGTGAAACGCAGCCTTTCTGTTTTTCCTGTAGGACAATAGTTTGTTAGTTCACTCCGCCGGCCATAACGGCGTGTCCTTTCACTGCCCATTGTCACACAGTCTCTACTCTTTGCAGCCAAAGCAGGAGGGTGGAAACTGTATCCATGCCTTTGCACTATACCATTCTCATAATATGAAAAGGGAAACCATGAGAACTGGGTTGTGTCCTTTCCCGAAGGTGTAATGTAACATAATCACAAGGAAATTGTTTCCATCTCACACCTATCACAAAAAAAAGTCAGGACAGTAGATAGAAGAAATCTGCTTGTTTGTCCATGTTGACCTCTCATTACTCTCTACCTGGACTTGTCTGTAGTGGTGGTGGCACCCAAGTTGAACACTGAGTCTCCTAACAACAGCACCATCCTCGTGACTTGGAACCCGGTGAGGAACGCCGTCCTCTACATGCTCTGCATCATCAGGGAGGGCTCCAGCTCCCGCTTCAAACTAAACACCACTGACACCACGGTGACCTTTGACGGCCTTGAAGGAGGGACCACCTACTGTATCAAGGGCACAGCCTGGGACTCTGAGGGTCGGGCTGGGGATGACCTCACTGTCTGCCAGATCACACGTAAGCACGACATGACGTAGAGCCTGAATGTAGCCCAGCAGATCTTGTTACTCATTGCCTTCTGGTTTCACTCACAGGTCCTCCGAGCACAGATGTGACCCATGTCCAGTTGTCTCAGGGACGGTCTCTTTGGGTCACTGTGTACTGGGTGTCAGTGCAAGGAGCTGAGAACTACATCGCCTGGTCCAGTAATGGTCAAAATTGTACCTCAACAGCTAATAGTTTCTGTTATATTACATCTGTGGAGTGTGGCCAGAACAACTCTGTCACTGTCGTAGCCTACAACAAAGCTGGTCCCAGCAGCCCCTCACAGCCAGTAGACTACGTTACATGTGGGTATATCACACACAACCACAATCACAATCACATTTAATATACGCAAATATACTCAAATAACAGTTTGACATATTTGGGAATACACTAATTAGAATTCTTTCTAAAAGTCAGCCACAAAGATCAATACAACTCTCGTGCTTGTAGGCTAAATATGAAGCTACAGGCAGCAGCTGGTTAGCTTAGCTTAGCACAAAGACTGGAAACCGGGGGACACCGCTAGCATGATCCAATGCACAAACAAAACAAACAAATTTTGACTACCACCACCTCTAAAACTCACAGATTAACATGATATATCTTGTTTGTTTAATAGCTACAAAAGTTCCCACTCCCCGCTAAGTTAAGCTAATTATCTCCTTTATTTAGCTTCATATAGAGAGGCAATTTCCCTCCCCTTCCAGTGTCTCCTATGGGACCATTATTTTGGAAAAACTAGGGTAGTCAAGGACAAGAAAACCAGTCTGAATTGTGCCATTAATTACACATGGGGTGTTTGTCAATTTAAAACATAACTTTTCAAGTCACAAAAGTCACAATTTACATATCTTTTATCCAAAATAAGGTCCTATGCTGGTCCACTGGACAAGGAGGGACTTCACCTCTTTATTTGCCTACAAAAATAAGAGTGGTATCAGTGTATGATGAGTGGTATTCTTATGTAATGCTCTGCAGGAAAGTGAATAGTATATTCCCCAAAATGTTGAACTATACCTTTAACAAGTGATGTTAAAGGAGTATGTCTTCATAACTCTCTTTCTCTGACAGATCCATGTCCTCCAGAGAACATCTGGGTGGAGGAGCCCGAAGCAGGCAACTGCTCAGTGGTGTGGGACGAGGTGCCGCTGGTGGAGTACTACATAGCTTTCATAAAGAGGGACGACGGAACTGAGAAGTCATGCAACACCACTGAGACTACATGCCCGTTTTCCTGCATGTGTGGCTACACCTACCTCACCACCGTCTTCCCCTACAACCAGGCCGGCTCCAGCCCTTATGCACATGTCCGCAACTACACCACTAGTAGGACCCTACGCAGCCACACCAATGCATGTTTTTGTTATCAAGTAAAAGGACCATACTAGTGGTTTTTAGCTCATTGACTTACTGGGTGTACCTTCAGTTTTTATTAATAGCAACTTTGACATCAAAAATGTAACGTGTGGCGGCTCAACAAGCAATATTTTAAAATAAGAAACGCCCAAATCCATATTGTCCTTCCTTTTTACACCCTACTTTTCCTCTGTGGTTGATTTTCTAGCATCACATCTCATGACTGCAAAGCATTTTGGCAGCTGACTCTAAAATCTTAGATAACGGAGCTTCCCTGACTTCTCCATCATGGCATTGTTGGAAAATACAGATCTTTGTCACAACAGATATTATAACATGCCATTTCAGGAAAGTGGTGTAATTGATACTATTAAAATGGCTGTGTTCCATTTAGATGTGCCACCTCTCTCACAATACCACTTCCTCGACAATAAGCATACTGGCATGGCTTTCTAGGACACGTGGCACACAGCCCATATTAATATTTACACCTGTGCCTTTCCTAATATGACAAGTCAAAATTTAAAAAGGGTTCCCCGCCCATCTTTATCTTTCAGCAAATCAGGTGCTTCCAAACACATATAGTCAACCTACAACAGGTGACCGGTTCTCATTGGGTAATTGTTTGAACAGGATTTCAGATCTATTAGATGGTGAATCCACAAGTTGAAGATGCCATTGTCGATGCCACACCCAATGCAACAAAATCACACCAGTATCCCGCCTGGTTTCACTCCCAGAGCATCAAAATATGCCGCTTGGGCAGTGCCCCTTAAGTTTAGCATCTGTGTGTGACACACCAGGCTTTCCACCAACTCTAATGTAAACCCATCCACATCATTATCTCTTTTGACACAGAGATTTTGCTACAGGGCTGCTGCTAAGTCCCTTCTCTACCCCTCCTTTACATTTTTACATAGAACCAATGCCACCCGTGTGGCATCGCAGAAGCAACAGAGGCATGATGAACCTGATATGTAACATAACAGCCTCAGCATCCAATGTTACACATAACAGACATGTTGGCAGCGCTTTCTAAACAATAACAATGACATAAGAAGGCAAAAAACAACTGTTTACCATTTCTTATATGGTGTTTGATCTTGTCATCTGCTCGTAGGGTAAGGAGCCACTGCAACTCATTGTCTCCCTAATATTCAGATGTTTTCGGCCGTTGTTCTTCTTCTCTGAGTTAGCTGCTAACTGCTCCTAGCTGCTTTGTCTCCCAGCGATGGGTCATATACATAACATGTCACATCCGTCCCGTCCATGATCCCGTCCTGCTGGCTGTCTTTTTTACACAGACGTTGATTCACACTGTTACTACTTACACTGCCGGCTTAAAGACTTTATCCCTCCAATCAACAATTGCAGCTTTTGGGTACGGCAAGCAGAATAACGGCACAACATTCCCGCCTTGAGCAGGCAGTGTAAAAGGGGTAATAACAGACGGTCACAGCAACAGACTTAGTTTAAAGAGCCTAAAAGTCCACTCAGGGTCGGAGAGGCAGTAGATGGGTCCAACACACACCGGACTTTGACCCAGGAGCGCTGTGTTCAAGCCCAGCAAAAAACAACATCGGTTGCTGTGTTTGTGCCACTTAAAGCCAGGTGTGTTTTGGCGACATCTGCAATCTTATCCTAATAATAACCACATAGTTTTGTTGCCTAAACCTAAGCGCCAACTCCGTCTTACTGCCGACCCCTTTTGCGTGAAGATAAAACGCAAAACGTCTGCTCTGTCATCGTTTTTGGAAACACCAACGAGGTGAAAAACATGTAAAATCAAGAGTATGGTCTTTTGCACAATGCTGATTATCATTCTCATCTGTCTTTGCATTTCTCCTCTCCGTTTCTCCCCCAGTTCCTTGTTGCCCTCAGGACGTTAGCATTACGCTGGTTTCTACAGAGACCCTGGAGATCATGTGGTCATCGGTCAAAGGGGCTGAGCTGTACGAGACAACGGCGGCACAGACTAATGATGTCGTCCACTGTAACGACACAGCGCCAGTGTGTGCGCTGTCAGATTTGACGTGCAACACGGCCTATTCTGTGACCGTCACACCGTGCAGCGAGTTACGAGGATGCAACCGCACCTGCACACCACACACACATGAGACAGGTATTAATGGGGCTGTTTAGAGAGATATCTCACCTCATGAACACATACTTATCAACATACACACAAGAGAGGGAAATTAGAGAGTGTTACCAATCTTTGCATGTAAGTGTTGGCAAGAAAGCAAACATATAAAAATATCTGCAAAAATGTTGAACTAATTCTTAAAAATAATTCCTCACTTTGCTGCATTAGCATACTGTATGTCTTTTTGGTTTGAAACAATCCGTTGTCTGTCGTGCTGCAGCTCCGTGCGCTCCAGATATCCTGAATATGACGCAGACCAACAACTCCACATACAGAGTCCTCTTCAGTACCCCCAACAGCCCCAACACAGATTACACCATCAAAGCCACTGGACGCTATGAAACACACACCTGCCAGTCAAGAAACAACTCCTGTGAGCTCACACAGCTGCCCTGTGGCTCAACCTTTGAGGTCATGGCAGTGGCCATGACAACTGTGGGGAGAAGTCTACCTGGATTCAGTAAAACTTTGGAAACAGGTATGACAGTATGATTAGTTATCACTGGGACTGAAGGTCAAATCGTAAAAATAGGCTAATTAGTCTGCTCGTAGTAAAAATATGAGCTCAGATTTTTAACATATTTATCAATATTACCTCAGATGAATGGATAAGAAAGCATCATCGAAGCTAGCTGTGGCAAAATATTCTCATCATACATCCATTCACTCACTCCAGTATTGATTATTGTTCCATAATTCATTCCCAAAGGACCCTGCTGCCCCATGTCTGTAAATGTGACCCAGGTCACCCAGGCTATGACCAACGTGACCTGGTCACCTGGCAGCGGTGCTCGCTCCTATATCACCACCCTGAAGTCCTCACGGGGACATGCTAAGTGCCACACCCTGGACACCCACTGCCTGATGGGATGCATCACTTGTGGCACCAACTACAGCATCCACCTGGAGGCCATCAGCAGCACAGGACACATGTCAGAGTGCAAATACCGTGGATTCTCATCCAGTGAGGACAAACACAAAGAAGCACACAACCACAAACATAGATATCTGAGCCCACCACTCCAATGAACACATACTGTACTACTTTACATTGTCTAATAGAGCTGAAACAAACAGGTCAATCAATCATAGTTGGTCGACTGAGTAATAATGGCCACCACTATAATCCCTGGCATAAACACCACCACAAACTCAACTTCTTACAACTTATTCTTGCAGGTGCCTGCTGTCCAATGAGAGTCAAGCTCAAACGCATGGCCAACAACAACTCCCTCAGGGTGTACTGGCGCTCTCTGGGCTCTCAGACGCTGAACCACACAGTAGAGCTGTACGGGACGGGAGCTAACTATACCTGCATCTCAGCTGCCGGCAGCAAATACTGTGATATTCTGGAGGAAATGTGTGGGGACGTCTACACAGTGCTGGTGGCACCAGTAGGACAAGATGGGGTCATAGTTAGCTTCTGTCAACGCAGGACATACTCAGGTGAGTCATGAAGAGGATGGAGGGTGTAAATGATTGATATCACACATCTGATATTTGTTCTTATAATCTGTGGCAGCAAAATTCATTCATGTTTTTATTTTTGTGATGTTTTCAGTTCCCTGCCCAGAGAGTAATGCTGGTATGAGTAAGTACCTTCTAAACTTCATATTTTGTTTTGCAGCAGTTTAAGGAATAGTTTTATATTTTGATATTTACATGTAGCTAAGAGTCAGATGAGGAGATTGATACCACTCTAACTGTTTCTTGAAAACTACTAAGTGTGGATCCCAAACATTTGAAGGGACAAACTAGGTAGTGTAAATTTATCAATATTGTTTTTAGTATGTAAAGATATTATGAAATTATAAATTAAATTAAATTAATTAACATAAAGTTAACTGTAGTCATTTTCGTTCTGTCCATTTCTCACATTCATGCGGGGTAATACTCAATAAATATTGCACACAATTCAGTCTTTTGTTTTTAAGTGCATAAATGTTTCCCTGTTCATGGGAAATGGGCTAAAACAAACAAACAAACAAACAAACAAACAAACAAAAAGTCAAACCAGTGTATTTCTGCACCAAAACAAAGCACCATTTCTTTAAAGGGTAACCGTTTTTTTTTTTCAACCTGGGCCCTTTTTTTCCCATGTTTTTGCATCTAAGTGACTAATAAGAATAAAAGTTTATGGAAATCTGTGTGGTATTTGCTCTGTCCAGCAAAACCGCTTCGGCTAGCAGCTCGAAACTGGCTGTAATATTATGACTTGGGGCATTTGTGCATCATCAATATGCGTCCATTAAAAGTGCTTGTTTTTGCCACTGACAGGCTCAGATTATTTTAAGTGTTGACAACATTATGGAAAGGATCCCTACAAAGACAGATCTTTTTGTTCTCACTCAAAGTCCTGAGAAACAAAATAAAACTCAACAAAAAAAGTCTTGTTTCTTCTGTTCCAACAACTACCAACTCTGGTTTGGTTTGAAATTTGGTTGAAATAAACCCTTAGTTCGCCCAGTTAGATGTAAAAAAAAAAAAAAAAAAAAAAAAATATATAATATATATATATATATATATATATATGCTGCCTCTATATACACACTGAAATTACTGTTTAATTAATTGGAGTCTGGCGGCCTTGGCCATGGATACTTGGATGGATACTTTAACAAAGAGGTCTATCTCTGTAGGGATCCTTTCCATAATGTTGTCAGACACTTACAACAATCTGAACCTGTCAGTAGCAAAAACAAGCTTCTTTTGGGGGACCAAACTGACTGAGCAGAAATGCCCTCAGTAGTTACATTGCGGCCTGTTTCAAGCTGCCATCCACAGCCCTGTCACTCAGATCTGGACTACTTTCTAAAACTATTGTCTCCAATAGTCACTTACACACAAAAACATTGTAAAATAGTGTCCAGGTTGAAAAATATAAAGTGTTACCCATTAAGTGACCTCGCTGAGAGAAAATTACATCATTTAAGAGTTTGAGGAAGACAGTTTCAGATGCTGGTGAGTTTTGATTATCTTTCAGAACCATTTTTTGGTTCATTTTTCTTTCAAAACCTTCTCTGTCAAGCACATATCCACCCTGTCACTCAAAAAACATGAAGAAAAACACTTTTTAAACAAATTTTCTAAATGTCTTTGTATTAAAGATGATTTTTTTTCCAGTTAGCTGCATGCTAAGTCTGCTAAATGTCTAAGCTTTGACCACAGAGAGAACTTCTGTCACAATTATCTGGATATAAGGCGTAAAGAATAGCGCCTGAGCTGGCAAAATATGTTTACCTGCAGGTCTAAAATATCATTCCTGCCATAAAATACCAAATTTTGCATTAGTGATGACAAAAAAAGTGCAGTCTGAACAGTTTCCATGGAACGACCCTCCCCCTATTCCCATTCTTTATGCTAAGCTAAGATTATCAACTGCTAGCTGTAGTTTCAGGAGTGGTATTGATCATCTCATCTAACTGTCGGCAAAAAAAGTGAATAATTGTATTTATCAAAAGTGCTCTTTTAAACTGTTATCAAGTTACAAACTGAAAACTGCCCCTGCACTGAAATCTTATCTCTCTCCTCCTTCAGTGATCTCCCGCGGAAGACGAAGTGTGGATTAATTACGGTAAGTTTATTGTTATTGTAAGTTTACTGTTACTGTAACCTGGAGTTACGTAACAACCTGAGACAACCAGCTACGTGCTTTCCCGTGAACATACAGTCCTGTGATGATAAAAGAAATTGATAAAAGCTGCTTTCACACGACGCATTCATTGTGCTGCTTCACCGCTTGAAGGGTATCTTGTGACAGCATCACAGGCATCCATAGACTGACTGAGCCTATGCTGCGCTAGTATAACAATAGATGTGAATGTTTGAGTAGAAGATATAGTGTGTAGACAAGCACAGGTGAGGCTGATCTCTATCTGTCTCTACCCCTGGGACGTCTCAGATATGTATATGTCCATGAAACATGGGAAAAAGAACGAGGGGAACGTGACTCAGGTAAATGAAGATGGAGAGCTGCTGCAGGAACGTGACACAAACATCTTATTGTGTCTGTGCTGACAGATAAGATGATGGATATGTAATAGCCTGTGACTCAGTATGACAAGGCTGTATTCTGCTTTTTGCCTATAAAGTTTCCCAAAACAGCCACTTGTTGAGCGTGATGAATCAGTACTGAAGCTATGATGAGACATAACCGGTTTTCCCACCAAGTCCAGGTTGATAATTTCTCTCTCTCTCATCTTTCTTGTCTTACAGTGAACACTTCCTCCCATTGCCCCCCCCCCCCCCCCCAACATGAACAGAAGACTGCGTTTACACCAAGGGCAACTCTAAATATCCAATATACCCAGATGAAATATCACTCTTGTTAAGAAATGTAGGAAATGTTTTGTTATTACTGCTGTTTGCAAGAAAAGCCACTGAATTACTGAATTAAAACCATAAAATTTATAAAAGAGGACTTTTACATAAATAACAATGGGCATTTATCTAATGTTTGAGTGTTCTCCATGTTGTTAAAGTAGGCTGCATGTTATTTTGCTCTCTGCTCTGCAGCTCCTCATCTTTAACCAATTGCCCTTTGATAATAATGATGTAACCTCAATGTGTAATGACGTCAAGGAAAAATGAAAAAGACGCAGAAATAGAAACTTTGCAATGAACGTCCCACAGAAATGTGTCACGGCAAATAGTCATTCTCTACTCGCACCATGTAGTGTGACTTAAATCTGTTTCACAAACTCAGTGTCTGTTTACTTCCTGTCAACTCGCCTCCGACATTAGTGATCAAAGTGCTCGCTCATCCTTAAGTTAGTTACTTAACTTTTCGCAGTTAACTTTGTTTGTTAGCATATTGTTTATAGTATACTGTTTGTTTTTGTATATAATGAGTTTGATCATTATGATGACAAGGCTAGCCAGTCAGTTAGCCTAGCTAGCTACTAAAATGAAGAAAAGCACTGTTGTGTGAGTGTAAAAGAGCTTAACAGTAGATAAGCTTAAAAAAATTACGCTGACTTTGGAGCTGCAATGACTGACTAACATAGAATAAAAAATAGAATATATCTTTATTGTCCACCATGAGTGGAAATTTGTCTTCGGATCATCGAAACACAAAAGACAATATTGTAAAAAGCAGACAAAAAGTCAATACAAAACGCTTAGACATATTAAATCCGCTCATTGTCTGTCTGTGGTTTAAAACTCATCAGTCACATTACTGAGTTAAGGATACTGATGGCACTTGTGATGAAGGACTTCTTAAATATATTTTTGGTTGCCAGAGGGGCTCTATAGCGCCCCCTGGAGCTCCAGAGCTCAAACTGGCTGAAGAGAAGGTGGGAGCTATGTGCCAAGATACTCCTTGCTTTCTTCCTCGTCCTTTCTGTAAAGAGTGGGGTGGAGGGCTTTTGTGGCTTGCCAACTATTTTACTTGCTATTGTCACAATCTTAGACAGTTTATTCTTGGATATGCAGTTAAGGTGACCGTACCAGACAGGAAGGTGAAACATTAAAACGCTCTCAACCATAATTTGGTACACTAACTCTAAAATCTGCTTGCTAACACAAAGGCCACTGAGTTTCCTAAGAAGATAAAATCACTGTGAGCATTTTTTAATATGAAAATATACTCAGTATTTCAAGAGAAGCTCACATGGGAGTCCAGAACCGAACCAAGGTATTTAAAAATTTCCACAGTTTCAACACGTTGGCCATCGAGTGAAACTGGCTCTGTCTTCAGATCTTGTTTCATTAGCTGACGGTTATCCTCTAAGACACTGAGGTGATAGCTAATGCTAGGTCGCTATGGCATGGCTATGGCATTTTTTTTTTGGCTTGAAAGAACTGCCAAAAATATTACACTGACTGACGTATATTGTCTTGTGGAAGCAAGCAGTAAAGCTCTATAAAGCTGACCATCCTCCTCATAAACTTGCTCTGACTTTTCTTCATTTTAGAAGCCAGCTAGGTTAGCTGAATGACACATAACACTATATACAAATCGAATGGTAAATACAACCAACAATATGTACAAAGCTAAAGTGAAAGTGAAGTTGCGTTACTAACTTAAGGATGAAAAAGCACTTTGATCACTAAGGTTGGAAGCAAAGGTAATAACACTATCGTAGAGTTACATTACATTGTGCAAGTGCAGAATTCAAAGACAACACAAATTTAAGATAAGATCTTAGGACTTCTCCAAGTAGAAGACCTCCATACGGCGGCCTATGACATGACTCTGGGTTGCAGAACCGGTTTCTGACCCAGAAAAAGGTCACAGTTAAAAGTGGGGCAGCAGGTATCCATCCCGTTCGCCTGGGGTCATGCATGTCAAGTCCTGTGGATGATACGTCTGATCGGATTGCTGGAGATAGATTCAGTGTTACCTCTGCTCTCATTGGATTTGTTTTCTCTCCGATGACTGACGACAACAATAAAGCACATCGTTTTTGCATTACCACATTGTCTGCTGTCAATCATCTTGAGTGGGCGCTCTTTATTAAGTAACATGTTTTGTTCAGTTGTGTGGGGTCAGATACGTGAGCTAAATTCAGTGCTCCAAAATTATCCAGAAACGAATCCATCAGAGAAACTCCCTGAAGTAGGTCTTACTCATTCAGGACACCTGTTATGGAATAGCACTTTCACTGAAGTTGTATAACTGACACAATACATTCGCCATTATACATCCTAGGGGTGGATCATCAGTTGCACACTATTATAAATGAAGTGAGTATCTTCCTAAGGCTGTCATAATACACCAGTACAATGACCATGATATGAGTGAAATATTAATATCATAATACACATATGATAATATCCTATAAATACTTCAGTGCCTCTTAGATCATTTCTGGTTCTTTCAGTTGTCGTTTTGTCCCCCTCCCCTAAAACTGTCTGGTTGCCTTTCACTATCCATATAGTGTAACTGTTCTTTGTGTACGATTTTGTTCAGAATTTGCACCCTTAACATTTGTCTTCAGAAGTAAAGTTATGTAACCTGGTTATGTAATCACTCAATCACTATGAAATAAAATGAAATGAAATTTAGTGTGCTAAAGTTTTTCTATCAATGTTGCTACATCAAATCCAAACGGCTTTATTAGCATGAGTATATTTAAATACAGTATTCACAAAGCAAGGTATGAAAACTGACATCATCTTATAGCAATGGTTTTCAAACTTTTTGTGCCCAAGACACACCAAAGGGCAAGCCAAAATCTTGAGGCACATCTGTATTTATATCTGTGCACAACAGCATCTATAATTTGTGTATAACTCTTATCATGACATAAGACAATAAAAATAAGAAAAAATAAGACAGATAGTTTTTGTGATACTGTCTACTGACAGTTTTTTTTTCTTTTCTCTTTAGGTGGTAGGTTGTCTTTGCCCTTGCTCCGTTTGCTCCGTACAATAAAGAAATCCATTGTCCCACTCACGGCTTTCTCCTTTCAATAATCATCCCTCACTGGCTGCCGATCAGGGCTTTTTGTGTCACACACTTATGACACACTTATAAATCCCACACTACATTACGCGCATGTGCGCACAACATACTGATACATCCATCCATCCATTTTTGTAAGCGCTTATCCTCTTGAGGGCCGTGGGGCGGGCTGGAGCCTATCCCAGCTGACGTTGGGTGAGAGGCAGGGTACACCCTGGACAGGTCATCAGACTATCACAGGGCTGACACATAGAGACAGACAAGCATTCACACTCACATTCACACCTACCGGACAATTTAGAGTCACTGATTAACCTGCATGTCTTCCTCCCATAGTGGACAATGCACACCATTTGAGAAACACTACCTTGTAGTATATCCCTTAGTACCAGCCCGAACCGGCTACATGGGCTCGTCCCCCTGCACCCCGGCCCACCACCCGCAGAGGGATCCAGAAGGGATCAGTGCTATGTGGATCGGGCAGCAGACCAAGCCTGGGGCCTTGGCGGTCCCATCCTCGGCTACGGAAGTTGGCTCTTGGGACATGGAATGTCACCTCTCCGGCAGAGAAGGAGCCGGGGCTTGTGGAAGAGGTTGAGTGCTACCGGCTAGATATAGTCGGCCTAACCTCGACACATAGTTCCAGCTCTTGAACCCAAGTCCTTGAGAGGGGTTGGACTCTCTCCTTTGCTGGAGTGGCTCCGGGTGAGAGGCGGAGGGCCGGGGTGGGCTTTCTGATAGCCCCCAGACTCTCTGCCTATACGTTGGGGCTCACCCCAGTAGACAAAAGGGTTGCTTCCCTGCGCCTTCGGGTCGGGGAATGGGTCCTGACTGTTGTCTGCGCTTATGCGCCGAACAACAGTTCAGAGTAGCTGCCCTTTTTGGAGTCCCTGGGACGGGTGCTGGACAGTGCCCCGACCGGGGACTCCATTGTTCTGCTGGGGGACTTCAATTTATATTTGCACATTATTATGTAGCGGATACATTAAAACTTAACGTTTCAACAATGCTGTGGCTCATGTGTGGTTAGGGTTACGCACAAAAACCACTTGATTACGTTTGGAAGAAGATCATGTTTTGGCTTAAAATATCAAGCTTTGGGAGCACAATCCCAGCTGCATAAGAAGCAACTTTTCAGTAAAAAAAACAACAGCTTTTCGTGCCACTATCCCAGCAGGAATTGGGCGAATATCTTTGTAAAAAACAGCCTCTTCTTATAGCACTATCCTGCAGGGAAAACAGCAATGGGCTGCTACAAAACATTGACGTTTGGTGCCTAAAAAGCCATTGGAAATGCAGCAGTGACTCGCTAAATCACAACCAGATTTTTGTTTGTTGTTTTTGAACAGTGGTCTGCAACTTGGCAGGTGTCCTAGGTGACACCCCATCCACCATCCCCTCCATCTCTAGACAAAGTATACTCATACTACGTTGATTTCGAAACATTAATACAATACATTTAAAATGTACAAATGTAGTGTATACGTGGTTTGCATTAATGTACAATGCCAACATTTTCTTAAAGCAACTGGGCTGAGTTGGTTATATAATGAAAATTTACCTCTATCATGGGTTTCATCCCAGTTAAGAAAACAGAAGAGAGTATGTACACTCTGTATATTTCCCACCCAGACAAACACAGTGGCAAGAAATCCCAGAGGTGGATTTTCACAAACAATTTCTTGGCTGAATTCACAAAACGTGTACGTATTTAAGAACGTTTCATTCCCCCATGTGACAGACAAAAGCTTATTAACACTCAGGTGTATATATTTCACCGTCATCATTTGCATGCTCACCAGGGAACGTATAGCAGATAGAGCTCAGAGAGGAAACAGAGGGGTGGACCTATTGTCACCAGCTGTCTTTGTCACACACTGCAACATGCATGAAGCTATCACATTCATTTACGTAACACCCTCAGCAGGATACAATGGGCTTAAAACTGGGATACAGTACATATAATGAACAGGAAATCCCTGTAGCCTTTAGCTGGTAATAAAGGTATGAGTCCAGTATGGTTTGTACAGTAGTTTCAATACCCTGGGTCACAAAATTATCTTTGTTCACTATCTCTTACAAAGCAATCAAACAATTTAACATCAGAAATGAAATTAAGACTTTAGCATAAACTTTTAGAGTTTTTCAGAAATCACATACATCCATATATTGTATGATGAATAGTTTAGCAGAGGGGGATCCAGCAGAATACAACCAAAGAGAGATTCAGATGGAAGCAGCAACTCAAAGACAAAATAAAGCATAACAGCATAAATTCCCGTCTGTGGTTTATATTTCAGCTTCCTTAGATTAATACTCTGTTCTTCATAATACACTGAAATTTCAGCTCTGCAGCAGTGAGGACATTGTGCTCTTAGTACTATTCTCCAACAAAGATTGTAAGCCAGGATTATAAGGAAATTAAAAATCATCTAGAGAGACACCTAATAGGTCCTCTTACTATGACCTTCAGGTAACAGTCAAAAAAAATGTGTCTCCTTGCAACAAACTATTTTAAAATGTTGTTTAATGGACATTTATTTGAAATTACATCATCGCACATGATTAATGAACATTGTAATTGTCAGGTCTTCCTGGAGTGAGACATATTTTCCACAAAAGGTTTATATTACATGTAGTCGAGAAGTGAGGTTTTCACGGGGGATTTTTACAGCTAATAGGTGAAACTGGAGCTTCATCACTAGACTGAATTGTTATACCTGAAAATTAGACACACTCTCATGTGCCTGCTGGCATTTATGTGTCCAGTCAGTCAAGTAGCCAAACAAAAAGAAGATGGCATTGTACATTTCTGCAAACCATATCAACATTTCTATAATGACATAGCACATGAGCTGACTTTGTCATCAGGAGGTAGAGGAGATAGGGGGTGGCATGACACTTAGGCAAGACGCCTGCCAAGCTGCAGACCTCTGTTTGAGACCAAAAAAAAAAAAAAAAATTGTTTTTTTAGTGACCTGTGTTTCCAGCGGCTTTTTAGTCACCAAACATGGGTGTGTTTCCAGTGGGGATAGTGTGACAATAAGCAATTGGTTTTACCGAGACAACGCTGCATTTCCAGCAGGGATTGTGGCACCAAATCTGGGAACTTTAAGCCAAAACATTACCTTCTCCTCACCATAACCAAGTGTTTTTGTGTCTAAACCTAACCACATGTTAACTACAGCCTTGCTGCAACCTGAGGAAGTTTACGTTTTAACTTATTTGCTACTTTATAATGTACAAATGTAACATATCCATGGTTTACAGAAACTTACATTGCTCACATTTAGTCTGCCAACTGGGTTGGTACAGTATCACCTGATGTCTCCTATATCTATTTCATTTCTATCTTTCCTTCTTCTTCCTGTAGAGCACTTTGTAACTTCTGTTTTGGAAAGTGCTTTAGGAGATTGAGATACTTACTGGTGATCTTACTTGGGATTTAATAAGTCTGTGATTATTTTAAAAGCTGATTTTTTTGTGCAGTTACTGAAAAAGACATTTCTTAATTTCAGTAAGGCATACCAAAAATGAACAATATAACAACCACAGGATTATTTTTTAACATGGCCTTAGTCCTGTAAGAGCAGCTGTTATATAATGATGCATAATGACAAAATTTCCCACAAAAATGACTTCAATCCAGGAAGGATGTAGCAGAGGGACTTCCTTAATAATGTCATACAAAGGACATCATATCATTTTCCAGCAGGTAAATCCTGTTGTATATACTAGAAAGTCAGCAGAGTTACAGAAATAAAATATTCCGAGAACATGGAGGAAGTGCAGTTTGAGCGTAATAGGCCGGGGGATTGAATGCACCCCCACCTCCACCTAACAGGCCACATACTTTGTTTCCTTCTCATGATGACAGAGAGCCCACAGGCACCCACCTGTCCTCATTTAGGACGACTCCTGATTGGTTCCCATGAAGTTGATCTACAGCGCTCAGCCTGTAAAGATTTCAGATGAGCTACTGTGTGCAGGAACCACATATGGATGTAACGCACTGAAACTCTGACGATTACAATGGATAAGATGTGGATGTTTTATTCTTCAGTCATACTATTGTCTGTCATACAGGTAATTATACTTTATTAATTACTATCTTTATACTATAGTTTACTTTATTATTTCTATTTTTTAACATTTATTTCATTTTTTATGTCAACATGTTAGTATTTTGTAATACATTCTAATTAATTTATTTTTTCTTTTGTAGACACAACATGTTTTGGCCACAGGTGAGTGCTCTGTGTTCTACACGTCAAAGGGAGACTCTAATTTCTAGATGCTTTTTTAATTTTATTTATTTTTGTCCTTCACTTATATGACAAGATAAAGAGATACACACAGATATGGATATATTTTTTCTATATTGGGTAAAAATACAGAAGCAAATTAAGAAAGAAAAGCGAAAGCAGCTGCTTGTAGATAATTGTTCCACCAATTTATGAATTCCAATTAAGGATGTTGACTAATGAGCATGAAGTAAGCGCTCACACTGCCAGTAACTAAAAGGTTTGAGGTGGATTAGATGGACTGGTGATTTGATTAATTGAAAATGATAATAGCTGCTGCTCACCACTAGAGGGACATATTTCTTATTCTGTCTTTCTATTTACAGAACAACAATTCTTGATGTTACTGAACTGAGTCGATGGCATTAAACTAGAGTGAGCAATGGGACATTTTGAACACAGCAAAGGGTCTTTTGCAAGCAAGTGGGTCATTCGTGTTACACAGCATTTCTGACCCATGAACTGGCTTAAATTATACATTAACATCTCCATTATCATATACACATAGAATAATGCAAACTTAAACCTTTTTTTTAACTTTACTGTCCTTTTTTTGGAACTGCATGATTTTACCATGTTCCTCTTTTATAATAGGTCATGTTAAACTCTCTCTGATTATATTAGGAAAAACTATACATGTTTTTAGCTTTATTGTCATATTTATTGTCCCTGAAATCTTTTTCCAATCTCTTAGACTTACACTTCCATTAAGGATTAAAGTATAGTGAGCATAGCCCTCTTCCCAAGGTTTAGTGATCTTAATTTGTCTCACCCTTAACGTTCCATCTTGTCAAGCAAAATCATGCAGTCTGTTGGTGAGATTTTTTTTTTTTCCCAAATGTAAAGACATACTTGGTATAGTTATAAAAGTGCTGTGTAGAAGGTTGGCTAGCGAAATCTGGATTGCTCACAGAGCTAAGGCTAACTTAGCTCAAAATTTTCCACCCTGGAAAATTTTGAGCTAAGTTAGCCTTAGCTTTGTAGCAGAACAGGAACAAGTCGAGCCATAAATATTATTGTTGAGTGCATGAGATTGGCACTCTATGATTCCTGAAAGTTAATCATGTTATTATTCTTATATAATGAGAAAATAAAACGTAAAACTCTTTTATTTTTTTCTCCCCCAAAAACGTTTTGAAGCCAAAATGGTGCTGCATAACAGGAATGACACACATATTATTATATGTTGTTAAGAAATTATTATCACGCAAGAAGGCTGGCCTTTTTCCCCATATGAAAAATACACACAAACTACAATAAACTAAAAATTAAACTAAAAATTAAACTAAAACCACGTATGAAATGCTCATTATTAGTTTAATTTTACCTTTTAATCTCAAAAAGTCAGAAGGTGGTATTCCTAGACCGATCGTTTTCTTCTTCTTTCTGTTTTTCAGGATGTAATATTTTGTCAGTGACTTCTCCGTCAGCATCAACACTGAATGTGGTATGGAGCACCTACACAGGAGCCTCAGTTTATTTACTGGACTTGAGAGTTGTGAACTCCACCAGTATCGCCCCGGTGGTGGTGACACAGTCTGCACCCAGCACACAGAGGCTGATTCAGGGGTTAAGACCCGGACATGTCTATGAAGTCACACTAAAGGTCTTTGTGTTTTACACTATCATGTGCCGTGATGTTGAAATAACCATGACAGGTAAAGACGCAATTTGAAAAAAGTTGCCAGTTAAGTAATAAAACAGAAGAATCCCTTTGTTGACTAATGTTCAATACTTTATCTTGCATTTCCACAGTGCCGGCCACATCTCAGATCACCTATTCAAAAGCTATTTCCAGTACATCTATAAAGTTTGAGTGGTCAAATGTGATAGGGGCGGACAACTACAACTTGTTTGTGGAGAAGTTGTTTAGTTTTCCCGCACAAACATACAACCAGACGTTCACGACCCTGAGTGGACAAGTGGACGGCCTAAATCCCTCTACTACGTACAACTGTTATATTTACTCATCAAACAGTGCTGGAAGAGGTGCCAAAAGTACTACAAGGACAATCACAACGCGTAAGTGCACATGAATTGCAGAAGTGCCGAATTACGAGCTCAGTTATGTTTGAGCCAATTCCTTAACATGAATGAGGATTTGTGGATTAACACCTGTATTTTCTCTTGGAAGTGGTGCAGCCACCAACTGGTGTGACTCTTGTATCAACGGGAAGGAGCACAGCCCGAGTGACGTGGAACACTGTAAGTAAAGTCCTGCTTTATCAAGTGACCGTGAGCGACAACGACAATCCCAGCAACGCCCCGGTCATCAGAAACACTTCAAGCACAACCATGGACATCAGTAACCTGGAGCCCTGCTCCACCTACACAGTGGGAGTATCATCAGTCAATGGCTTCTTAGTTCCTGGGGAGGCCTCTAATGTTACACACACCACCTCCAGTGAGTATCTTAGAAACAGAATTCATCAGTCAGAAGGACCAAACAGAACATTAACATGTCACACTTCCTTTACTCAGCCATTAACCCAGTGACGACCATCTCTGTGGACTACAGCTGCACCAGCGGCATGGTGACAGTGACTTGGGATTTGGTATTCGGGGCCAATTTGTACAGGGCCACAGCTATCGATGGCACCGGCGCGTCCCTTAACTGCACATCTGCCTTCACCAGCTGTCAGATCACCATGCTCAAATGTGGTGAGAAGTACCAGGTCCACGTGACGGCCATCTCTGACGACTGTGAGAGCACCTCCAACGCCACCTCCCTGTTCGAGACAGGTGAGCAGAGCACCTGCTCATGTGGAAGCCGCAAAACGTGGCTTCTGTTTGTTTGTCATTCCCTTTTTAATGCTTATGTTTCCCACATGCATGCACACACCTTCTCATTTTACCTCTCACTGTCACACAGTCTCACACTTCTGGACATAGTGTAAGCTCTTTCTCACAGACCTTCCCCATACAATAAGTATGTCCTATGGGAAGTTGTTTAGGTTCCTCCCATGGTGTCCTATGGACTTTTCTCATGATGAGCAGTGAAACACACCCTCTCATTAGTCAACAAGACCCGCCATCCTACACCAGTCAGTCTAAAGCTCTTTACAGTCTATTGAAGTCAGGGAGTTATCTCAAAGGTCAGCTACAGATTCAGTCTGGAAAGTGAAAAGGTGGAAGGGGACACACACACATATACAGTCCGCCCACGGAAATTATCTAATATCTAACACACACACACACCCAGCACCACAAGCATCTTTGATGACATGGTGAATGCTACAAAGAGGTTAATTACAAAAGGTGTTATATCTCAGGTTTCTTACGAGGACTTTCAAACAATAGAAAGAGACTTGCTGGCCAGGGAATCTGCTATAGTGCATCACAAAATTCACTCATCAATATAAACTCCACACCTCTCTGCATAGTTCTTCTTCTTTTCCCCTTATTCAGCCAGATTTTTTCCACTCATTTCACCTTTTGCTTTTATTCCCTCCCCATTAATTGTCTCTAAATGTCTGATTCCATTCCCCCAGTCCCCTGTGCTCCAGCTAATCCTCACACACTTCACGACTGCTCCAGCAATGTGATTGTCTTTAGCTGGCAGCCCACCAACAACACCGCCTACTATGTGGCAACAGCTGTGGACAACACTGGAAGAGTGACCGAGTGCAGGACGCCAGACAACACGTGTTACTTCACTAATACTGGCTGCGGTCAGTACTACACGTACACCGTGTACGCCGTCAGCTTTGAATGTAACAGCGAAGTCAGTCAACCTGAGTTTGTCCGAACCTGTGAGTAGGATTTGATTTATTTCTCTTTTTTGTGAATTCTTTTCTGAAAATATAACAATAACATTTTGGCGATATGCTATATTTTTCATACTGTCAACAAATCCCTAAAAAAAGACCCAAGCCAAAAATAAACTGACCCTCCTACCAAGTATTATAAATAGTGTAGCCAAAGCCTGATATATCTTATTATGTGTCATCCTTGCCCTAAAAGACTATTTAAGCATGTACATGAGCCCCACCATCGCAGTGATTGACATGTTCCCTTCTTACTATTAACGTGGGCATTGTAGTTTATTTTGAGTCAATCTAATGAGTCAATCTTTGATAAATTTAACTGAGCATCAAGTGTGTATTACTCCACTGCTGTTTGAATAATGTTGGTTATACACTGAAGTGCCTAACTGTTTCGGTAATGTTTCAGCTTTAGAACAGACATGATTGTTGAATATAATTAAATAAAACTGAATACAAGTTCTGGGGTGACGCCCCCATCTTGGAATGATAAGCATCTGTCAATCGTTAATCTTCAGAAATGTTAAAGTATGTGCAAAAGACAAATGCCCATGATAAAGAGAAGTTATCGACAGAGGAGCAAAATTATACATATATTGATACTTACAGACCTTGACAGCTTGCCACCCATCGACGTTACAGTCCCTGATGTCTATCTGGTGCTTTGGGTTTAGCGGCTATACACCTGTCAGCTATTAAAAAACTTAAATCTTTGAGGCCCATGTCCAATTTGGAAATCAGTGAATACAGGAATTTAAGATGATCTAGACAAAGATAAGCTATCTACTCGTACTCGTACTCGTACTCGTACTCGTACTCGTACTCGTGCTCGTCGTCCTCCGCTTATCCGGGTCCGGGTCGCGGGGGCAGCAGCCTCAGCAAAGAAGCCCAGACAGTCCTCTCCCCAGCCACTTCCGTCAGCTCTTCCGCGGGAACCCCGAGGCGTTCCCAGGCCAGCCGGGTGATGTAGTCCCTCCAGCGTGTTCTGGGGCGGCCCCGAGGTCTCCTCCCAGTTGGACATGCCCGAAACACCTCCCAAGAGAGGCGTCCGGAAGGCATCCTTACCAGATGCCCGAACCACCTCAACTGGCTCCTCTCGATGTGGAGGAGCAGCGGCTCTACTCCGAGTCCCTCCCGGATGTCTGAGCTCCTCACCCTATCCCTAAGGCTGAGCCCAGCCACCCTGCGGAGGAAACTCATTTCGGCAGCTTGTACTCGCAATCTCATTCTTTCGGTCACTACCCAGAGCTCGTGACCATAGGTGAGGGTTGGAACGTAGATCGACCGGTAAATTGAGAGCTTCGCTTTCTGGCTAAGCTCCCTCTTCACCACAACGGACCGGTTAAGCGCCTGCATCACTGCTGACGCCGCCCCAATCCGCCTGTCAATCTCCCGCTCCATCCTACCCTCACTCGTGAAGCTATCTAATGTTATGCTAACTGAATGCTAACAAAAATGGCCAACAATTAGACTTAAGACTATAGTACTGATATAGTTGTTCTTACACAAAACTGGCTTGGTACAATTAGAAATTCAAAACAGTATATATGGAAATAATGGAGCATCTTGCTGATGTTTACTTGAGGAAAGACAAAATAAGAGTGTGTTGAGAATGTACGATATGTTTGTCTATTCTGGCGGTCACTATGTCAGATTAGGTGACTATGGAGTCATAGAATCTTGCCGTGACTTGGCAGACAGACATGACAGATTAGAGACTGGTCCACAACCAATCATTGCTCATCGTCTTTAACAACATGCATGATATCATCGGATTATTCTTGTCCTATTTTATTTTTATAATCATTTCAGTAACTGTGGCTGTTCATGTCTAAGCCAAACTGTATTTGTAGTGATGTAAAAAAAAAAGTGCCACCAGTTAGCAGGAGCTACATCTAAAGTACTGCATGAAAACTGTGCAAGTCACTGAATCCTGCATGACAAGTTCCTGCAAAAGTTTCACAAAAAAGTCTTTTTTATTATATGAAAATTTTCTCTCCACTGAAACAACAAGGTGCTTTTAATTTTAAATGAATACAGGAAGTGTTGAGTTTGAAATGACGTGATGATTTAAAGGAGCTATATGTAAGAAATCTAAAGCAAATAGTCATAAAATCCTCCTAATATGTCAGAGACTAAGGAATAATGTTCATATAACATAGTGATCTCACCAACAACAATAGTACAGCCAGAATATTCGTATTTAAAAAAATTTTTTACGGTCCGCAAATCATGTTTATGTTTTGAATTTGTGTTTTGGCCTGTTGCGCCACCCACCACTGTCTACCAGTCACGCAGTCAGTAGAGTCTCAGCATCAGTTAAAGTTATGACTGAGCTACAGCAGCACGGCAAGCAGCATTAGCAGTGTCCCGGTACATAGCATTAGCAGCCGGTTCCTCCTCAGCTGTATCCTGGTAGCAGCGTTAGCAGCAGAGAAGCCGGACTTGCTTGAACGGTCCGCTGGAAAACCGCGGATCAAGGACGCGGCAACGCGCAAACAAATCAGTCTCCAGCGTGCCGCTGTCCAACAACCTCGAATCTGTAGGGGAGGGGGGGAGGACATGACTCGCGGCAGTATTTTGAATTTGAGTGCAGTAACCGTTTTGGCCACATTCTTACATACGGCACTTTTAACAGGGCGAACTGGAGTGGATTAAAAATAAAAATAGAAAAATACAGAGGGAATGAGAAATAAAGACCCGTGTCTATTGTAATCTGTTTCAAATAAAGCTGGTATCCTCTACAGTTGTGGTAAGTAAAGACCCAGACACTATTTGTGAATATCATGGCATGTTTTTCTACCCAATCCTTCTCCATTACGAGAATTAACATTCTTTGCTGGCTTGATACTAATGGCAGTACTCACCGGGTTGCTGAGGTGCCTCTACTATTTCAAGCCAGCATTCTTCCTTTTTCACTCTGTCATGGTAACGTCCATAGAGGAAATATCAAAAGGCTGTGGTGTTATTGCCGTACAGTTAACCACAGCAAGAGATCACCATGTGTTCCTATTGGTCTGAATGATGGCTGTAACAGAAAGAGTTGTGGAAGACAGAAGTAAATCAAACATGCTAGTCTTTCTGTCAGTTGCCGTCTACTATGACACACTACATGGAATAAAACTAGGGATGCTTGATTTTGGAATTTTTGCCAATATCAGATGGGCCGATATATGACAACTTAACTGGCCGATAACCGATACTGCTATTGATATATCCACATTTTTCCCACCCACAAAAAAAGAAAAAGCATGTTGGCCGATTCTGATAGTTGATTTTAAAGCCAATATCGGCTGATACTGATTATTGTGCATCCCTAGACGAAACATTTAATTGTTGTGCAACAACACTCATTGTTGTTCACGATCCAAGCCAACACCATAGGACGCCCGCATCAGGCTATAATCAGGCCAATATCGTGTCGTCTCAACCCAGCATAAGTAAGTCTTTATTTCTCTCCTTTCCTCCAGCTCCTTGTCTACCGACAAACATAAGGACAGGGGCTGGGTGTCACTCTGAAATGCTGATCACAACTTGGGACTCTGCTGCTGGAGCTCTTTCCTACACTGTAGAAGCACAGGGCAACACTGGAGAAACCTACAACTGCACCTCCTCCTCCAACAGCTGTGCAGTGACCGGGGTGCCGTGTGGTGAACACCTTAGCGTGTGGATCGTCGCCTCCAATGACAACTGCTCCACTAGCAGGGTGTTGGGAGAAGTTGCTCAGACTGGTACGAACTGTGGGAGCTCCATGATACTAACATATGACATCACAAATACTCTGTTTTTCTGATTTATTTGCCAAACTTTTCTCTGCTCTCCAGTTCCCTGTGCCCCAATCAACGTCTCGGCAACAGTCGACTGCAGCCAGGACTCTGCTAGAGTCAACTGGACGACAAACATCGGTGCTATATTCTATATTGCCGTTGCTGAAGATGCAAACGGGAATATGCATAGCTGCAATTCAATGGGCACCACCTGCCTAATTGAGGACCTGAGATGTGGACAGAATTATACTGCCAGTGTTGTTGGCACCAATCTGAAGTGCAACAGCAGCGCCAGCCAGGAGGTCACCTTTATGACAGGTAGTTCAGAGGGTTGGATTACGTTACAACTGGATTCATGATTGTATTATCAGGAAGAAGACACAATGACAGAAGATCTGCATGAACTGGAAATGCTGGTTATTTTTCTCCCAGTGATGCCAAATGAACTGCATCTTTAAAAATGTGCCACAGTCAGACACACTGTAAATCTAATTGACTGAATCCTCTGCTTCTCCATCAGCTCCTTGTTCTCCAACCAACGTTGAGGCATTCAGAGACTGTGACGCCAACCATGCTCTGATAGTGTGGCAGAACCATCAGCCCACAGGCCTCTACACAGCAACCATAGAGGATCAGAGCGGTGCTCAGCTCAACTGCACCAGCAACACTGTCAACAACTGTAAAATCACCTCTCTGCCCTGTGGAAAGAGATACAGTGTCATTGTCACCTACAATGATGGAAACTGTCCGTCCACCTCGACACCCATCAGCATGGACTCAGGTAGTAAATTAAGAGGGGTGAACTGTTTCTTTCTGGAAGAATAATGAATATTACAAATAACTGATGATGCCCTGTCTCCATTTCTTTTAGTGCCATGCGGTCCTGAGAATGTGAGCGCCAGTGTGACCTGTGTAACCGGTGAGCTGATGGTCACGTGGAATATCTCAGTTCCTGCAGAGAATTACACCACTGTCATCACCAGAGGAATGGGTCAGCCTCTTCACTGTAACTCTTCAGACACACAGTGCACCACTGGAGGGTTGTTGTGTGGAAGCTCCTACATGGTGACCGTCTTCTCCGTCACTGGGATGTGTTTCAGTCTGCCGAGTACAGAGGTCACGGTGCAATCATGTGAGAAACGCAGATTTGTCATTGTTAAAAGCACAGACACAGCAGCGGGACTTACTTGAGTTTAAAATATCTCCTTTATATTTATTTCCCTTCAGTGCCGTGTCCTCCCACAAACATCACAGCCGTGCACATGTGTGCTCCTGAACCTGTTCCTGTGTCGTGGATGGCTAGTGACAGTGCCAAATACTACACTGCTGTCGCTGTGAGCAGCAGAGGTCACAGATCAGAGTGCACGACCAATGAAACATCCTGCAGCCTCCCTGAACTTCACTGTGGGGAGGTTTACACCGTTGGTGTTTCAGGAGCTGATGACAACTGTACAGGTCAACTGAGTGACACTGTTCCTTTGAACACAGGTAACACCACCAAGAGAGTGTTTTTAAAACATGTGTTGTCATTCATAAGGCTTATAAAAAAAAGTGTTATTTGTTTCCCTCTCCAGAGCCATGTTCTCCCTCTAATGTATCCAGCCACCTGATGTGTAGTGCTGCCACTGCTCATGTGTTCTGGCCCCCCAGTGCGAATGCAGTGAGCTATGTCATGGAAGCAACCAGCAACGGACAGACCCTCACCTGCAGCAGCCACAGCCCCAACTGCACGCTGAGTAACCTGATCTGTGGCCAGGCATATGACATCACTGTCACTGCGTCTGATGGCATCTGTGTCAGCAACTCCAGTGCCCCCTTCAGGCAAGATCAAGGTACTGAGAGAGAGGTTGAGCCACATTTGGTAACCACACTGTTGTGACAGGCACTCACACTGATGTGGAAAAGCTCAACAGGTTTAAACAGATACTAAGGGATTATCTGAAATTACTTTCAGCCAGCTAACTGATGTTAGATCAGTGTTTCTAGTAGTGAGTCCCATAAAATGCAAGCCTATATGTTTATAAATGTTAAAAATTAAAGGTGCTTGTAGGTAGTTTTTAGAATATTTGGATGGACACAAGCCAGCCATTTACCCCATTTCCTGTCTCTGTACTACCCTTCGCTAACCCGTTGCTGGTGGTAGATTCATGTTTAGCCAGTAGTTTCAATTTTCCCCATTTATCTCTCAGCCTAAATAGACTGCATATTTCCCAAAATGCCAAACCGTACCTTTAAGAACTTCCATGTTTGCCTGAGAAGTATTATTTTGACTAATTCACATAATGTTCTGTCTCTGTCAGTACCATGCCCTCCAGAGAACATCACAACAAATCTGATATGTGGCACCAATGACGCAACGGTCAGCTGGGTCACTTCTGCTGTGTCCCTCAACTACAGTGTCACTGCTGTGCCGCTGGCTGGAAATATCCGTTCAGTCATGTGCCACACTGACAGCAGCAGCTGTAGGCTGAGTGGTCTCCAGTGTGGACACGTTTATAATGTCTCCATCGGAGCATCTTCTGGCAGCTGCAGTGGACCAATCAGCCTCCCGCAGATGGTTGAGACAGGTAATAAAGATGTTGATGATCTAAGGATGATAATTTCCATGATCTAAAAACTGTTACTTTGATTGATGTCATGCACTGTAATATCTTCTTCCAGCACCCTGCCCTCCTCAGGGCTTAAAAGCAGTAACAGAGTGCGGCACAAATTCTCTTCTGGCCTCCTGGAACGCCTCTCTTGGTGCCACCTCCTACATAGCGACAGTGACGGGCCCCAACGGCTTCTCCGAAACCTGCTCCTCATCAAACCTCACATGTTCTGTCTCCGGCCTGCAGTGCGCCAGTCAGTACAACATCACAGTGAGATCCGAGGGCAACTGCACCAGCTCTCCGAGTCAAACTGCTTTGACGACAGGTTGCCTTTACATATTTTGTATATTTCACGTAAAGCATTTTCTTGACTTGGATCACATCATGTGACACATATCCTCTCTCTACGTCTTCCACCAGGACCATGTGACCCTGTCAATGTGACAAGCATCCTCCACTGTGGTTCAGACACGGCCACGGTGTCCTGGGAAGCTGCTGCTGGGGCCGTGGCCTACACTGTACTCGCTCAAGAGCATAGCTCTCAGCATTATACTTCCTGTAGGAGCAGTACAACTTCCTGTCAGCTGAACCAGCTGCAGTGTGGAAGAGTTTATAACCTGACTGTGATAGCTGAGGATGCCACCTGTAACAGCACTGGAAGCATCAGTACGGTCCTGATGACAGGTAGGAAAGAGGGAACCTGGACAGACTTAACTTAAAGAGAAAATTCAAAGAGAAAATATATTTCTTATGTCTTAACTCAATCTCCCTTTCATCTCTCTCTCTCAGCTCCTTGCTCTCCCTCTATCCAGAACAGCACCCTGATCTGTGGCACCAGTTATTCCTCTCTGTCATGGATGCCGATGGCCGATGCCACAGGTTATGTAGTTAATGCCACGGCTACAAACGGGCAAACAGTTTCGTGCAGCTCAGCTTCTGCTATGTGCACCCTGACAGATCTCCTGTGCAGTGAAACCTACACAACCACAATCATTGCACGAGGACACCAGTGTGACAGTGCACCTGGCCCCAGCATCAACATTACCACAGGTGAGTGTGTGCATGGTGTGAGAGAACATGCCGTATATATGTGAAAAAGGAATTTCTCACTTCCTGGTAAACCCACAGCTATACACTGTTTCTTCTGCTTTCTTTCTAGCCCCCTGTTCTCCAGCTATCATGTCAAAGCAATATACATGTGGCGCTAACACAGCAGTGTTCAATTGGACTGACCCTGAGGGAAGCCTCAGCTTCCTAGCTCAGGTAGCAGGAGAAGGGTATCAGGATAGCTGCCAGACTACAAATACCAGCTGTACGTTCCAAAATCTTCCTTGTGGCTTGGATTTGAATTTAACGGTCCAGGCTCAGGGGGCGCAGTGCAGCAGCTTCCCAAGTGTCAGTGAATCTCTTGAAACAGGTAATTCTTCCACTTATGTTGTTCTCATAAACAAGTCAAAGAAACTGACTGTTACAGAGGTACTTGAAATGGATGGTTTTAAAGCAATAGTTTGACATTTTGGAAATTACACTTATTTCTTTGAAGATTGATACCACCCTCATGTCTGTCAAATAAATGCACAGCTTCAGCCACTGTCAGGTTATCTTAATTTATTATAAAAACTGGAAATGGGGAAATAGCTAGCCTGGCTCTTTCTGGAGGTATCAAAATCCACGACTAGCAACTCTAATACACAACAATAAGCAATTAGCATTATATGTCTTTTGTTTAATCTATTTAAAAACTGAAGCATCATCAATCATCACCATGACGTTGTAAAACATAGGCTGTTTTAAAGCCTCGACTTTGGCATTTTGGCAGTCACCATGTTGATTACGTTACGATTATGTTGAGAACCTGAAGGAGAACCTGAGGTTATCAGCTAACGGTAGCACTAGCTTGGTTAGCAAGGTGCATCCATAATTCACATAACTGTGATATTAAGTGGGATGATAATTTTGGCTAGCAAAAAAAGAAAAAGACTTAATACAAAATCTATTGATAAGGAAAAATGAACAACCAACTCCTCAGAGTTTGTTTTAATAAAACCAACACTGACATTTTTAGGCAACCAAAATGTTAAAATTAACTTTCATGAACTGAAAACTTTGAGAAAAATCAAAGGTTCTAGGACAAACACACAGACAACACCCCAAAACTAACCAGTTCATGGCTATTTAAACGAACCCAGTGCAATGGATATGTATTGCTGTGCATCTATCTTGACTAACAAGTCACCATGGTAGCCACGCTCTAAAGCATACCCTGCTTTACCGTCTGTTTTTCTCTAAATGGGACCATAATTTACAAAATAAACATCATGCTGTATTGAAGAAGAGTTAAAACTATCAACTGATTCCATAAGCTCATTAGGAAAAAGTTTAGTGAGGTAATAAATCAAGTAAAAATTAGGGTCATTTTCTCATAGACTTTAATCAGTCTTCTTTTTGCAGCCAGTGGAGTCGCCCCCTGCTGGCCGTAGAAAGAATACAGGTTTAAGGATCCACATTGGAGGCTATATCCACTACTTTTACACAGTCTATCATACAACCCCCTAAAACCACAGCTTAAGGTTTTTACATGTTGTTCTTGGACATATTAACAAACAAGACTGAGCTGTAATATTCTTCTCATTTAACCTTGGCAAGAAAGCAAATAAGTGTATATCCCAAAATGTTGAGCAACTGATTTAACTGCTGAAAGTAACAAAATGTCAGTTGCTGCACATGTTAATAAACATTTTGTCACCTTGCCTTTTTTTCTTTTCACTCCACAGTCCCGTGTGCCCCGCAGAACGTTAGCGCCACACTGGTCTGTTATAATCACTCAGCCCTGGTCTCGTGGGTAGGAAGCCCCAGTGCTGTAGGATACAATATGACAGCGACAGGCCAGGATGGACACACACACCACTGCTGCACCAACACTACCAGCTGTCAGCTACCCGACATTCACTGCGGTGAAACCTACGACATCATAGTCACACCGTACTCTCAGACATGCACAGGACTCCCAAGTGCAGTTTATCGCTTTAAAGCAGGTGCAGAAAGATTTTAAGTTAAATACCCATGTTCTGTAATAAATATATCTTTATATTTCACCTCAGAGAGACAACGTTAAACCCTTTTTCCCTTCCCTTCTCTCCAGGTCTTTGTGCTCCCAGTAACGTCACTGTGTCTCCAGCATGCGAGGACAGCATTGTCTCTTGGTCCCATGTAACAGAGGCAGACATGTACATAGCAATAGCAACTGCAGATGATGGACACAATCACACTTGCAGCTCAAACAATTCCAACTCATGTAATTTCACTCACCTCCACTGTGGGGAAACCTATGCTGTTACTGTTGTGACTGTGGACAGGGGCTGCTGGAGTGAGCCCAGCTCAGCCGTGCAGCTGAGAACAGGTGAGAGGAAACTCTAATGTCAAAAGTGTGGAAACACAGACGCAGCAATTATGTTGTGACACTTTTCTTACTAATTTCCCTCTCTTATCCTAGCTCTGTGTCCACCTACAAACTTGACGGGCCAAGTCAGTTGTAATACCAACACAATTACACTCACATGGGACCAGAGTCCAGTTCCTGGGGCCACCTACGCTTTACAAGTCGAGAGAATAGGCAGTACACTCCCTGCATCGGTGCACACTACCTCTAATACCTCAGACACACTGACCAACCTAATGTGTGGACAGAGATATGCTTTCCGCATCACAGCCCAGGATGGAAACTGCCGCAGCAGCTACAGTCCACCCATAGAAATCAGCACAGGTAGGATGTGTTTCTATGGCAACATCTGCAAGAGTTTTACCTGCAGTAAAAAATGATCATAATCTAAAATCAGTTTTTTTTCTTTCAGCCCCTTGTCAGCCCACCAACTTCACTGCTCGTGTGGACTGTGGCACAAACAAAGGGAATTTCTCCTGGTCTGAGAGCAGTGGAGCAGGTTTCTACACTGTTCAGGTGACAGGAGAGCACGGCCACATAGCATCCTGCTCCTCCAATGACACCTCCTGCTCTGTGAAACTCCACTGTGGCCGGTCATACTCGGCTACACTGGTGGCTTCCACAGAAAGCTGCAACAGCAGCCAACATGCTGACATTAACTTTGACTCCGGTAAGATACAAGGACAGTCAAAAGTAATCACCAATGACAAATCAGTCAATTCACTAATAAGACAAATCAACATTGTCCCTTTGTAGATCAAAATGAAAATGTCCTGGAGCCATCAATGCTCATTTTGTCACCAAGCAGTGGTTATAACTAATGACCAGTTTAGTTGCTCATATCAAATCTCACAATGTCAACATAACTTTTCTGTGTACATATAATGTAAAGCAATGTTTCTCAATGGGGACATGCCATTGAGTGCTCCAGGAATGCCGTTTTTCTGTAGGCTGACGTGGATGTTAGCGTCACCCTAGTTCCCTCATCAAATAGCCTGTGGGATTTTGACAGGTGTTTATGATGCTTACACGTTTTGTTCAGCAAGATAATCTTCACAAATGAACACCACTCGCATGATTTTGAAAGCCTAAATGCAATTGCCAGAAGTTAAAAGCTTTTCTCGGCTCAAGGAAAGTTGTACAAATATAAAACCTCCATGGTTCAAAAATTCATAACAGAAAGAGTCATAATTGATCTCGTTTGCAGTTTGAGGTTCCTGTAAACAGTTTTACAAGTGTCTGATTATAATGGCGGTCTATGGGGAAAATGCATTTTTGGCCACAGGCAATGTTTGCGCTGTAATACTGTGAGTGGCCACTGGGCCTAATTAGAAGCAAAGTTGAGTTGCATTCCTGGGGGCTTGGGGTATGCATAGCTTTGGAGTACTGCAGGGAGTACGTGAGATTATAATATCAGTCATAACTCCTAAAATAATCCTAACACTGACCTGTACGTGCAATTTATCAAAAAGGTGAAGTTCAGGCAACCTTTAGCTCACCTGGTAGAGTGTGCGCCCTATATAGGCTGAGTCTTTTGCTGTGACCTGTGTTTGATTCCAACCCACGGCCCTTTGCTGTGTGTCATCTCCCCTCTCGCTCCAACCTTTCCTGGCAGTCCTCAGCTGTTCTGTCAATAAAGGCAAGAAAACACCCAAAAAATAAGCTTAAAATCTAAATGTATCTACAATGGGTACTTGGCTGGAAAAATATTTCAAAGGGGACATTACTGAAATACTCTGAGAACCACTGCTGTGCCCTTATCTGTGATCAAACTCTCTGTCCCGTAGCTCCCTGTCTACCAGAAGACGTCCTAGCCGACTTACAGTGCGACACCAACGTTATGAATGTGAGCTGGACACAGACCCCAGGCTCAGACAATTACACTGCCTGGGCCATCAGCACCGATGGACACAGAGCCTCCTGCAACTCGACGTCCAACTCCTGCTCAATTCATGATCTGCTGTGTGGCAATGTCTACGAGGTGGTCGTCACCTCCTCCTCTGTTCACTGCAAAACCATCGCTGGCTCTGACTACAAAGTTCAGTCTGGTCAGTGTTGCTCTTTCATGTACATAAATGATGCTGCTGAAGGATAAATTAAATGGTTTAAATGACAATGTTCCTCTTCTTTCAACCACCTCTAGCTCCTTGTAAACCTGAGAACACAACTGTCGACCAGAACTGCAGCAGCAATGTTATGACAGTAAAATGGAAGCAGGGCGCCACAACACAGAACTACACTGTTAAAGCCACGTCTGCTACAGGTGTTAACTCCACCTGTGACTCCACTGAGAACAGATGCTCCTTCCTGGACCTGAGCTGTGGTCAGCTCTACACGTTCACTGTGATGGGACACACTAATGTGTGCATGAGCGAGATGAGCACTCCTATAGAGAAGCTCACAGGTACGCTGATTAAGCCACTTGTTTTTGTGGATAAACACTTTTACATCAGTTTTAGTATGGATTAATGTATTTTTATATTAGCGTTCCTCTATTCCACCAGTGTCCTCTATTCTAACGTGCCTCTCTTCTTTTCTAGCCCCATGTCCTCCCACGAATGTGTCTGCTAAAATTAACTGCACTACACGTAACGCTCTGGTCAGCTGGAGTAGTGCAGCTGCAGCCACAGCCTACAGCGTCCAGGCAATCTCCACAAGTGGACATAACTCCTCCTGCAGTGAGATGGGCACGTCCTGTACCCTCAATGACCTGATCTGTGGAGGGGAATACTCTGTTGTTGTGGAGGCAATGCACACTGGCTGTCCTGGCCCTGCCAGCGCCCCTGCCAGGCTCGCTACAGGTGAGTATGACTCAAACCACACACTGCTGAAACCTGAGGGAGTCTTAGTATCCCAGTCAGCACACAGTGATAGTCATCATCTACCATGGAAACATCTGTGACCAAGAATATATCTGTACATGTAAAGATGAGTTGATGCCAGATCCTTGTCATAGTCTTAAAGGGTAATCAGTGATTCAGGCATTTTGCTTGAACAAAACTCAAACTACAGCATCTTTTTCTTCCCCTAGAGCCCTGTACCCCCATGAATCTCTCTGTCCACTACAACGTGAGCACTGCCCAGGTGATGTGGGGGGCAGCAAGAGGTGCCAGCTCATACTCTGTCCAGGCTGTGGCTGACCAGGGCTCAATGGTCACTTGTAACACCACCAACACCAGCTGCTCCCTGAGTGGCCTGCAGTGCAGTCAGATCTACAACGTGACTGTGATGGCACGAAACCTGGCCTGTGACAGTATGATCTCTGAAACCCAACACCTCATGACAGGTTTGTCATCTAATCAGGAAAAGATATGTGTGTGAAAATATTTACAGTACTGCTTTTGTGATACTTAAATGTGTGTGTTTTCACTTCCTTAAGAGCCCTGCCCACCCACTAACGTTCAAGCCAGTACGGCGTGTGAACAACTTACTGCGACTGTTTCCTGGCAGCAGAGCGACCTCTCTGTGGGTTATGTTGCCTATTTTGACAACCAGAATGGCCACCAGGCTTCTTGTGTTGGAACAGACACAGAAACACAGTGTGCTGTCTCGGGGCTCGTGTGTGGCACAGTGTACAATGTCTGGGTCAAAGCCTTAGGACGGCAGTACAACAGCTCTGACAGCACAGTGACCACTTTTACATCAGGTAAAGACATACTCGATTTATATAGATTTACACATATTACATGAACAAAGTTATTTAGATTTAGTGTGAGGGTGAGTGAGTTTAATGTGTTTATGGATATTTGTTCTTCACCATATATTGGTATAAATCCCACAGCACCTTGCCAGACGAGCAGCATCGAAGCCATGATGGACTGCGAGTCCCAGTCTGCAATCATATCCTGGCAGCCAAGCGTCGGGGCCGCATCCTATGTTGCTGAGCTTACAGCTTCATCAGGCCACACCACCAGCTGCACCACCAACCACACCAACTGTGAGCTGAGCTCCCTGCAATGTGGAGAAGAATACAATGTCACTGTGAAGTCTCTGGGAGATACTTGCAACAACACTGCTCAAATGGCAGAACGCCTCACCACAGGTACAGGATGTTCACCTGAGTGTCTTTTTGTAGCATGTCAGCCACTGTGTTACTGCCACTAACTTAATCCTCTCTCCTTCCAGAGCCCTGTACCCCTATGAGTCTCTCTGTCCACTACAATGTGAGCACTGCCCAGGTGATGTGGGGGGCAGCAAGAGGTGCCAGCTCATACTCTGTCCAGGCTGTGACTGACCAGGGCTCCATGGTCACCTGTAACACCACCAACACCATGTGCTCCTTGAATGGCCTGCAGTGCAGTCAGATCTACAACGTGACTGTGATGGCACAAAACCTGGCCTGCAACAGCACTGTGACCTCTGAACCCTACCGCCTCATGACAGGTTCGTCCATAGGAAAGCCCATTTTCACAAGTGATTAAAGACTAAAAGATTAAAGATTAAAAACAAAATGAAAGATCCTTTAAGTCACTGTATTAAGAAACTTTCCCAAATAATGACATATCTCAAAATAATGAGGAAACAATACTTTTTTGAGCGAGTTTCTGATCATAATGACTCACAGTTTTGTTTTTTCCCACTAGCGAAAATGGGCTTCTATAGTCATCTGATTGGAATGTTTAAAATATGTCACTACATGCAGGTAGAGCTTTCTATTTCTCTTTCCCTAATGCTTAAAAATGTGTATTCATTTCTTCATTCAGAGCCCTGCCCACCCACCAACGTTGGAGCCAGTATGATGTGTGAACAACTCACAGCGACAGTCTCCTGGGAGCAAAGTGACTTCGCTGTGGGTTATGTTGCCTATTTCGACAACCAAAATGGCCATGCAACTTCCTGTGTCGGCGCAGACACAGACACCTTCTGTGCTGTCTCAGGACTGATGTGTGGCACAGTGTACAATGTCTGGGTCAAGGCACTGGGTCAGCAGTACAACAGCTCTGACAGCACAGTGACCACCCTTACATCAGGTAATGATGTAATCAGTATAAATCAAATTTTTGGTCCATTTTTTTTTTGGCATTAATTTATATACTTTCTCATGCTGTATCCTCAGCTCCCTGTCTGCCCAGAGAAATAGACGTAGAGGTTGACTGTAACTCTGAAGGTGCTGCCATTGTCTACTGGAATGCTACTTATGGCGCAGCAAACTTTTCCCTGACAGCCATTGTCAGTGGAAGTCTTCAGACTCTGTGTGAAACTCAGCAGAACCGCTGTAACGTGACAGGTTTAAGTTGCGGTGAAACCTACAACATCAGCTTGACCGCCAGCAACACACAGTGCAGCCTAACAGCGCCGATGCACGCCAACCTCACCACACGTGAGTGGTTAGAGCAAATCCTCATCAGTGGCAACTGTCAGTCAGTTTTACTTATTCAAGATTTAACCCTCACCTTTCAACACGTCTTCGTAGGTCCTTGTCCTCCTCAGCGCGTAGCTGTCGACCTGCAGTGTGGCTCCCGCACCGCCATCCTGTCCTGGGAGGAGAGGTCTGATGTTGAACTGTATGTAGCAAGTGCCACCAAGACATCAGGAGGGCAGGTGCAGACGTGTAACTCCACAGGCTCTACCTGTCAGTTTGCCAGTCTGGACTGTGGAGAGACGTACAACTTCACTGTGAAAGCACACAGTCAAGGCTGCTGTAGCCAGGCTAGCAGCTCTGTATCTATCCAAACAGGTACTGTGGAAGCTAAGCTGATTATGTTTTATTCAGTGGTGAAAAGTAATAAAGTGATTAAACGATTAATCCTTTCGTCTACAAATCGAATAATCCACTTAACATTTCAGCTCTAGTTGTATTTCTAGACTGATAATTGTCTAATTGTTTCTCTGTGTTCCTACGCTCCCTTCAGAGCCTTGCCAGCCTGTGATTGTATCTGCTCAGGCGCTCTGTCAGAGTGAGCAGGTCCAGATCTCCTGGCACCAAGCAAATGGTGTTGTGAATTACTTAGTAACGGCCACCGGGAGCCTTGGATATGTGGAGACCCACAACACAACCCAGACCCTTCTGACAGCTGCTTTACCATGCGGACAGGACTACAATGTCACTGTACAAGGAGAAGGCGACGAGTGTAACAGCGTCCCCAGCAGCCCTGCCTTCTTCAAAACTAGTACGATCTTATATCTTACACCACAACACACATGCACAACTTCTGTCACGCTTGTGTGAATTAAAGTTCACCACCTTCCTCTCTCCCCAGCTCCATGTATCCCCCACCATGTGACGACCTATGTACAGTGTGAGTTTAACATGGGCTCTGTCAGCTGGGGGCCCAGTGATGGTGCTGAAACATATGTTGCCGTAGCAACTGGGCTCGACGGCCACCCCCACCAGTGTCGCACCAACACCACCTCCTGCACGTGGAACAGTCTGCACTGTGGAGAGGAGTACACTGTTGTCGTGAGAGCAAAGGATGGAAACTGCACCAGCCTGCCCAGCAACAGCTCTGTCATCCATATGGGTTAGTTGTGCAAAGTTTGTTAAAGGGACAGTTCACCCCAAAAATAAAAAAAATCCTAGTTTTCCTCTCACCTGTAGTGCTATTTATCAGTCTAGATTGATTTAGTGTGACTTGCCAAGTGTTGAAGATATTGGCTGGAGATGTCTGCTGTGTCTCTAATATAATGGAACTAGATGGCACTCGGCTTGTGGTGCTCAAAGACCAATAGCCAGTTTACTGAATGCTGGTGTACTAAAACTTAAATGTTGTTGAACATTTCTTTTGTAACATTCGTCATCTTTGTTTCTTCCAGATCCCTGTGCACCCCAGAACTTGGCTGCCACTGTGAACTGTGATATGAAGGTTGTTTCACTGAGCTGGGATGCCAGTAATGGGACAAACTTGTACATGGTATCAGCGGAGTCAGGAAACAAAACAAATGGGCTCACCACTAACGCCACAACAGCCCACTTCTCTGACTTAACCTGCGGACACAACTACAGCCTCACAGTCACACCTTACAACCAGCACTGTCCTGGAAACTCCAGTGCAGCAGCTTCAATACAGACATGTACGTACCAGACAGATATATTTCACTTTTAAAGGCAAACAGATTAAAAATATTATGTAACAGTAAAAGTGAGTTCAAACTGGTCTAAGATTAACTTTTACCTTGCTTTTCCCAGGGCCGTGCCAACCTTCAGGAGTCTCCACCATGCAGGACTGTCTCTCTGGCATCGTCATGGTAACCTGGCAGGCCAGCAATGGGTCAGACTACTACACAGCCACCATGCAGACAGACATTGGCATCTCAGAAATGTGCATGTCTGACTCTAATGAATGCAGCGTCCCTGGTCTGACCTGTGGGCACAACTTCTCAGTGTCAGTCACAGCCTCCAACCAGCAGTGTAACATCACCTCCAGTCACACCACAAGTCTGCAGTCAGGTGAGGATTTAAAAATAGACTGTGGGTTACTAGGCTTTGTCTTGGTAATCAAGATCTCATTGGTATGATTTCCTTTTCTCCTTTTATCATTCCTACAGTATTTATTACTCACACAATGCAGCACAGGGTCCAAAACCAATTTAGATTTAATCAGGACAGCATTCAAAATTATCTAGTAATTTTATTTCAACCAGCTTGTGCAGCATTTTCATTATTAGCTGCCAGCCAATTTAATTTTACTCCATTTCAGGGACATGTTAAGCTGTTTTAGGGGGCAAGCTGTGTAAAAGGAAACTTCTGTTACATGGCAAATATGGTTTAGATTTAAGATAGTAACTCCTGAAATATATATTACATAGAGCTGCATAATCCACCCAAATAAGGCCAAGTGTAATCAAATCAAAGCAAAGGAAATTCAACTTTTTAAAATGGTAAAATGTGTCACAGTATACCATTACACATGAAAGATTGTGATGCAGAGGACATGCCCGGGTCTACAAATTAAATGTCAGACCTAATGGAGCATGCTTGTTTGATACTGACCCCAGCAAAAATCACATTATCATATTTTTTAGATTTCTTTCAGTGAAAATGAAATGCAAATTTTACCATTAACACTAAAATGGTGACTCAGATTGCGAAATCTGTCAAAATAATATTAATGCAGCCTTAGTTCCACAGTAAGGTAACATCGGGTCAACGTTTTAAGCTAGCATTAGCAGCCTTTATTATCTAATACCGGTAAGTTATATGATTTAAATCAGTGCAAAACTCAATTATCCCGCTTTCCCATCTCTTTATAGAACAACCTCAAATGTTATACAACTACCTAACTTAAAGTTAAAACATAAGTAACTTAAAATTAATATGAAACCGTCATTGTGAGCTAACGTGCGAAGCTAGCTAAAGGGAGTTAACGTTAGCATCTTACCTCGGAGTCCATGTTGATTTACATACATCACTTAGAATTAATAGCCAACCGTCGTTGTACGCTAACGTGCTAAGCTAGCTAAAGGTAGTCAATGTTAGCATCTTACCTCGGAGCAAATTTGGGAGTTTATGTTGATTTTTGATGGATTCAGGTGTTAGTGAGGGCTTTAACACTTCTTAATCCTTGTTGGACATCTCTCCACTTAAGTTGTTGGCTCAAAAAAGCGAAAAAAACACCAACCTCTAAACTTTGAGGATTTCTGCGGTTGGACTTGCAGTTCCATATCTGTACATCATCGCCCATATCAGTCTGTGGGAACTACAGTCATACCATAGTGTGTGTACCTGTGACGGTATGCATTACACCAAATAACTCTATGTACCTTTCAGGTGTTCTAATCCAGTTTGTAATGTCTTGTATTATATTTTGTTTATAAATGTCAGCATTAGTTGGACATAACATTAGTTTTGTTGTTGTGAGGTAAAATAAGGGTGACATTTTCTGACCTAATTGGTGAACTGTTCCTTTACTACATAGTATACCATAGTAATACTACACCTTTACTTATAGGTCAACATAATGAGGTTATTACCCATGCATGCTCTTCTCAGAATATGTAAAGATAATACATAGATTAACTAATAACTAGATATCGGATGCCAAGATGGCTCCTATTAATGCCAGTGGAGTTTCTCATCTGGTGCATTCACCACAACAGTTTTCTAGCTCATATGCAGCCCACTGAATATGCGCTTTAGTTTTTCTTCCACTGGCCCTGCACATAAACTTCTTTTCTCAGCTTGAGGAAAGTTTTACAAAAAATAAAACCTCCACGGATCAAACATTCAGAAAAGAAAGAGTCATAATTGATCTTGTTTGCAGTTCGAGATGTCCTGTCAACATTTTTACAGACGTCTCTTGAACAGTGGTGGTCTACGGGGAAAATGCATTTTGGGCTGCAGGGGATTTTTTTCTCTGATATACTAGCGAGTGGCCTCTGGGAAAAATTTGCTGCAAGGTTGAGCCTGTGATCAAGCAGCAACTTCAGGGGCTAAAAAATGAAGCCAACACGGAAGTGCCAAAAACTGCAGTTCCTTGAGTGGCCACTTGAGGCTGGCTCCAAAAGCAAGTCAATCCCCATGGACCCTCATGTAAAAATGTTCAACTTCACAGCAGGAATAACCATGTTTACATCCTGGTATAAAATACAGTTTAGATTTGTATAGCTAATTTCCCCATTCATGGATTCATTTTTGTATAACTCACCTATTTAATGTTTGAATTTAAAATCCAAAGGCCAAAATGCCAAACTGGAAGCTTCAAAATGGGAGTCCACAAACCAATGTCCAGGTCCATCATTTCTTTACAGTCTATGGTAATGACTAACCATTCCTGTCCCCTACCTGCAGTGCCATGTGCTCCTACTAATGTCTCAGCGGTGATGGACTGTGCCAACAACACTGCTGTGGTGTCCTGGTCTGCCAGTCGGGGCGCCATGCAGTACTCAGTGACAGCCCACAGTAGTCATAGCAACATCAGCTGCCAGACCTCTAACCTCAGCTGTAGCCTGGACAACCTCATGTGTGGCAACCGCTACAGTGTTCAGGTGGTGGCTATGGATGACAACTGCTCTAGTATCCCCAGTCAGGCTCTGATATTAAACTCAGGTAAGACAGGAAACACCAATAAATACACTCTAATACACAGTTACAGTGTTATACTTGTGTGCTGTGTATGTGAAACTATTTCAACTTAAAATGTCTCCTTGTTCCCAGCTCCCTGCCCACCTCAGAATGTGAGCGCTGAGGTCAGCTGTTCATCAAACGACATGATGATTTCTTGGGATGCCATCAGAGAAGCAGACCACTTTTTGGTGTCAGTAACTGCAGACAATGGTGGAGCCAGAGAGTCCTGTAACACCACCAACACTGCATGTTCCATCAACAATGTAACCTGTGGACATACATACAGGGTTCAGGTCATCTCTGTCAGAGGCGACTGCCACAGCCAGCACAGTCAGACCCACAGCATCATGTCAGGTATGAAACCTTCAAAAACCACACGTCCTTACGTAAACCCAGACATCCAGTCACAAATTTAACTGTTATGTTTACTTTTTAGCTCCCTGCCAGCCTCAGGGTATCAGAGGCAGACTCGACTGTGTGACCAATTCTGCCTGGATATCATGGGATGCTGCTCCGGGGGCGGACAGTTACACTGTGTCAGCTGTAGGTGACGGGGACTACTCAGCCAACTGCACCACTTCCTCCAACACTACCTGTGAGGTGGAGGACCTGGCATGTGGCGTGCTTTATAACTTCAGTGTTATTGCTAAAAACAGCAAATGTGAGAGTCAGCTAAGTGCCACCATCGACTTGCAAACAGGTAACAGATCTATGAAATATGCTGAACCATTGGGAAAACATAAATTCATGCATGCTGTGGAGTCATTTAATGAACTCTGTCTCTTTCCCCAGCCCCTTGCTCCCTCTCCGGCATCACTGCATACCCTCAGTGCCACAATTCCTCCATCCTCGTCCAGTGGGATCTGATGGAGGGCGGCGATGGAAGCACTGTGTATATTGCCACAGCAGAAGCCAGTGACCATACCTACCTATCCTGCAACAACACTGGCACAAGCTGCCACCTCCACGGAGCACAATGTGACCTCCATTACACCATCATCGTTTCTGCTTCATCAGACCAGTGCAGCAGTCTGAGAAGTCCGCCCTACAGAATAAGCATGGGTACATAGATTTCTGTTTGTTTTCTGTCATGCATTAAATCATTTCACATACTAGCTTAGAAGGACAGGGCTGCATTCGGAAGTCAGTATTAATCATTTCATTTATAAGTTGATGTGCAGTGGAAGCCAGCAAGTTCTTAAGTAGATGATAGCAAGGACAAGGAGAAAGAAAGAAATTATGGCTGTTTCTTCTGGTGTGTGGGTGTAGAGTTGGAGTGGTGGTGGGATCATGACCTGAAAGCTTTCACTGAAACAGATTTCATCCAAAATGTCATGATGTCAAGGGCTACTTTTAATTATACCTGTAAGTGCCTCTCCATAAGACACTCAGTCCAGGTGACACATCTCCCTGAGAGAACACGTAGGAGTTGCGTTGTATTGGCCGGCAACAGGGGCGGGCTATTGCCATGGATGTATATGGTTACCCCACACTGTCTAACCTCCCACCAGCACAAAAATATGACAAAAGAAATGAGAGTTTGTGATTCCAATAAAGCCCCTGAAAATGTGGCATAAAATCTTGATCATGTCTCCACAATATTTTCTGTTTCTGACTAAATTAAAGTAAGCAAAAATCACACTTAAAAAGACATCTCTATGTATTATTCATTCAAGGTTAATGCTCAAAAACTCAGTTTATCTGCATCATCAGAACTGTTTTGGGGGTTTGATCAGATTTCATTAACTGTGACCAAACAACCCACCAACTGTCATATGCTGCTAAATCCTGGCATATGACACATCACCTATTTCCAACTTTTCCACAGAGCCGTGTCCACCCAGGAATGTGGCGGTTAATATCACCTGTGAGGACCACAGTGCACTGGTGTCCTGGAGCCCCTCTCCTGTAGCTGAAACCTACCATGTTGTCGCAATGAGTGCAGACGGACACATGCACACTTGCAACACCACCTCCAGTAACTGCAGCGTGTCAGAGCTCCACTGTGACCAGCAGTATACTGTGTTTGTGACTGCCAGCCACGAGAACTGCTCCAGCAAGGCCAGCCAGAATGCTACAGTCAACACAAGTACTTGTCTTTATATACAAGTGCACACAGTTACCCAACATGACTGTATAATATCTTTTTCAGCAGTTTGATCTTTTGGTTTCTGTGCAGGTCCCTGTCAGCCCGATGGTCTGTCAGTCACTTTCCACTGTGGCAATCAGTCTGCATTGCTGACATGGACACCCAGAGATAACGCTGTAGACTACTATGGCAGTGCCCAGGCTGGAAACGGAGACATGCTTTACTGTCACAGCACAGGTCCCACCTGCACCATCCAGGGTCTTGATTGTGGAACAATTTACAATTTCTCTGTCCAGGCCTCAGACGGGACATGCAACAGCTCCTTCAGTGACCCAGTACAGAGTGGAGCAGGTATAGTAGTAGCTGCATGTAACACTCAATAACTGTGTAACACTTGCACTAAAATGGACAACAACATTAAATCCTCCTCTCTCTCTCTCTCTCTCTCTCTCTCAGCTCCCTGTCCTCCAGACGCTGTTGAGGTGCAGCTGTTGCCGATGGAGAATGAGATCCAGGTGATGCGCTTCAGCTGGACAGAGATCACCTGCACGGACACGGAGTACTTGCTGACATTAACAGGGAGTCTGCTGGGAGATAGCCAAGCCCAGTTCGAGCTCTCGTCCTATTGGACAAGCACGACGTACTTTGAGATTCCTCTCCCCTGCGGCTCATCCTACTCTGCGACAGTGGAGAGCAGGAACCCTGCCGGTACCAGTGACCCATCAGTGCCTCTCAATGACACAACAGGTAAATGACACTGAACACTCGAGATACTGTTCGAAAACATTTATGTTGGATTTCAAGCCTTTAGCTAACAGTGGAGTAATTGAAAATATCTTGTATTTATAGTACACTAATTAAAGGTGTCCACAGACTGACAGTAGACTTAGAACACAGTAGAACACAGATACACTCCCCTGGTTAATCACCATGGCTTACTGGGACATTTCAATGGAAAAGAGGCATAATTTATTGTATAGGTTACACCTGCTCTATTCCTACTGTGAGAAGCCAGAATGGTGATTAAAATGTTGTATCAATAATCGGAGGTCTAACTGGACCAGGGGTCGGCAACTTTTCCAAAAGCATGACATTTGAAACCAGGTTTTGAGACTCTACTTTCTTCTCTTCTCCCAGCTCCCTGTCCACCATCAGGCGTGGAGTACAGTGGTAACAGCTCCTTAGCCACAGTTTCATGGAATGCCTCCGTGTTTGCCACCACGTACACGGTGTACGACAACAGTGTGACGCCAAAAGAGCAGCTGTGCAGCACCGTGGGCTTGTCCTGTGCTCTGTCTAACGTCGCTTCTGGTAACTTGGTGATCACAGCCAGCAACACAGCTGGAGAGAGTGAAGAGACAATTGTCACGAATGGTAGGTACTGATGTGTGTGTGAGAGAGCATGGAGAGGATCCTGTATAAAGATTTGACACATTTGAAGGGACACATTTTCTGTATTCTTTTAGACAAAGTAATTGATCTAAGGCTTTTCTGTTTAGTGGTACCACAAGGTCGCAGGAGGAGAGATCTCAGTGGACAAATGCCAGAGGATGGTGAGTTTGTATGAAAAGTTTTCAAATTTTCTTAAGAGTTTAAATGCCGCTTTTGTTTAGCTACCAATTCAAAGCTAAATGACAGAGGTACTTACCTAAATATATCAGCTTTAATGCAATCTCATGTGTATCCCCACCAGGACACCTCCCAGCTCCTGTGCTGAATGTCACCCAAGTAGAGTCAGTTATTGTCATTGAGTGGTCTCAAGTAGATGATGCCACCCATTACAACCTGGTTATCAGGAATCAAGGCAGCTCCAGTGAGCATCAGGAGATGACAGTGTATGGCGAGCGTGTCCTTCTCACTGACCTGAGCTTGAACTCTAACTACTGTTTCTCTGTGTCGGCTGAGAACTCTGCAACCAGCGGACCAGAGTCAGAGCCCGTGTGCGTCAAACAGGGCAGGGGCTTCCCTGGTAAAAGTACACTTCAGTAGACAAAGCTAGACATCTGCATACATATCCCAATTAAAATGTGATGGTGTGACTGTCAAGGTGACAGCGTTTTTGACATTTAAGACTAGTAGCACATGGGAATTAGCATGGGTTTGTGACATTTACCTGCCATAAGCTGCACAATAGTTTCATAAGGCACGACACAATGGAAGATGCCCGAGCCCAAAGGATTTCTCTACTCTATACATGTAAAAAGCCTTCATTGATCTTTTGTCTGCTGTTGGTTGAGGTTATGTTTTGTATCTAGGGCTTTGTTCCTCTTGCTTTTAAATATTTTAATCTCTTTTGTAAATTATATATTAGTATCTGAAAGTTAATATATCAGGAAGTGTTTCACATGTCCAGAGTATTTACTTTTTACCATTTCTAAATGTGTATTTAATATGGAAATTATTTTCAGACATTCTAATAAAATCATCAAAAATACTATTTGCTTTTCTCTCAATTTTGTCTTCAATTTCTATTAGTGATCTGTTCTTGTATATTCAAAATGAGAACAGCACACGTTTGTAAAAGTGTTTTATTAGAAAACAAACTGCAACAGAGCAATAACCCAAACACAGCACAGGCAGGGCTCAGTGTGTGTGGTAAAAAAATTACCCTTTGTGGACTGCCCTTTACAGGATGAAAACATTCTCAGGCTGTCTACACAGGACCGTGGAGAGAGTTGCTTTGTGCCGAGCCACACCGCTGGTGTACCTTCAAAGCATCACAGTACAGCTCACCAAGAAGATTAAATATGAAGAAAAATCCAGACATATGCCCTGTAATATTAGTCAAAATTTAAAATGTTTTGGCTTTTGTACCGCCTGAAAATAACAGTAATTCTGTATAAATTACATAAATTATGACGTTTGTTGAGCTGAGCTTTCGGCACTGACTGCACCCGACTCAGCAAGCAATGCAACTCAGACCTTTCATGGTGTGTAGACAGCCTGTGGAACGCTATTTACAAACCCACATCTTGCTGAAGGGAAACGAACGCACCATAAAAAATTAAAATGCCGTTTTGTCACTTTTCAAATTTCAAGTGAGGACTAACAATGGGCTAATGGGGGAGTGAAAAAGGCAGAAAAACATAAATGGAAAGCAACAATACATTGGCCAAAGACAACAACTCCAGATGTCCAATGTGCTGACATTCCTTCTCTTTAGCACAAGTGACAGAGCAGACAACTGGGTAGAAAAAAAGGAAGAAAAACACAGGAGAATAAGAAGTAATATTGCTGGGAGGCGACATTTACTCAGTGCTCTGACTCCTTCTGCGTTCACTATGTCTACTATGGTCATTACTGGACTCTCGCTGATGATGGCTCCTCTCTTTGCTACCACTACGTTTGTGAGAACGCTGTTCTCCATCTCTGTCCCTGTCTCTATCTCTGCTGTGGCTGCGCTCTCTTTTCCTGCTCTTCTCCTCTCCCCCGCTTTTGTGCCTCCTCTCCCTGCTTCGACTCCGGCTTGACCTTTTGGCCTTCCTCTCTTCTCGGTGCCTGTCCCTGTCATCTTTGTGCCTCCTGTCATCCATCTCTCCCCTGTTCTTTCTATCCTTGGACCTCTCCCTCTCGGCGCCTCTATCTTTATGGTGTTCCCTGTCCTTCCTCCTGCTCCTGTCATCCCCGCCGTCTCTTTCTTTGTCTCTGCGTTCGTTCCTTCGGTCCCGGCTGCCGCTGTGGCTTCTTCTACGTTCTCGCCGGTCTTGGTTCCTGTCAGTGCTGCGGGACCGCCGTCTCTCCCTGTCCCCTCGGTCCCCTCTCTCCCTATCTCTGTCGCGGTCCCTGCCCTCCCTCTCCTTCCTCTGGCGGTCACGCTCCCTCTCCAGCTCTCGGTCAAAGCTGGGGCCATGGCGCTCTTTCTCGCGGTGGTGGCTCCTGCTCCTTGACCGCTTTGGTGACCTTCGGGGGCTTGGTGTCCGTCTGGGCGTCCTGATGAGAAAAGTAATATAGCATCAAGCAATTTAACGTCATGGCCAGAGTTGGCGCAGACATTCTTTCCATTCTAATTGGTTGCAAAATGATAGGAAAGACAAGATTGGTTAGGGAATAGGGATGCCAGTTTCAATAAATTTGCTGTTGATAGCACAACACCCATTAACCAGTAAGCAACTTTTAAGAAAGAGGGTGTCACCATTAGGGTGTTACAAGCGATAACTGGAGAATGAGTGGCACAGCTAGCTAGCTCCTACTAGACCTGGGTGGTGCAAAGTGCAGTATAGATCAAAAATATCCTTGCCATTGACAAAGATTAAGTTCACACTAAAAAGTTTGAAGCATTAACTCTGTTACCTGGAGCGGCGCCGTTCTCCTTGCCTCCCTGCCTCTGCCACTGCAACATCCTCCTCCTGCGTCTCCTTCAGCGCAATCTTGCGAGGCCTGGCCTTCATCTGCTGGTCAATAATCTTCTGCACAGGCACTGGGATACGAGGGAACAGAGTGGAGAACCACTCAAGTTTGGTCAAGAAGGAGCGCAGCATCTCTCCGATGGTCATCACACAGCCGCCTCCTGCCTTTACGTCGAGCTCCTGGAATCAAACGGTGGGAGAGAGACGTAGAAAAAGTCAATTAGCAGGGTATGGGCAGGACGCAGGTAAATCTGATCGCTTTTTTCAATCTTGCCTCAAATCAAAAAGCAATTTTGTGATGACCAAGTACTGAACCTTCACCTCTGTTCATCTAGCTTAATCTCTCAAATTAATTTAACTGATGATTATAAAGAGGAAACAAAAGTATAAATGTTAAAAGAAACTTTGCCTCATCTAAACTGTCTGGTATTTCTGGAGTCTGTACTTACAATGTGAGCTTTAATGATCAAGCAAATATTATATTTGTAAGATCCACCCCCTTTTCTTTCACATCATCTGTTTTGAACAGCATCTCCAAAAAGTGGTTGGATCTACTGTTTACAGACAGATATGAAGGGAAGGGAGAGTGGCAATCAAAAACATTAAGACACATTGTCACTGAGCCACATGGCTTCGTTCTTCAGCCTCCCAAAAGCACAATGGACTCATAAGGGGCCACTAGAGCATAAAATACACCCACAGTGTAAGCACAGACTGGAGCAGGTAGGCAAGTGCACACCAGTTGAAGAGTTATTGACTTCATATGGTAGAGAACAGCTGCTTTCCACTCACACACGCAGCCCAACAGTGCTGAGATACAATATCCAATTCACCTGCTGCACAGTGGGCATCTAAAGAAAAAAACAGGGGAATTAACCAGTTGGGTAGGATTTCATATGATCAATTCAAATATAATGCAACAGAACATCAAAGGAGGCCTGGCTGCACAGCCTGGGATCAAATGATATTCTAATTAAATACATTGAAAACACAACAGATATACATCAGTTGACATGTGTTGTATAGTTTGTATTATCTGTCTGTTTGTGTATTCATATGACTGCTCCAATCGCTGTTTATCCCAAATTTAGTTTTGTGCAACAAGTCCTGATAAAAGCTTTAGCAAAAAAACAAAGGGCATGCCTTAATATTACATTAACTGAAAGATTTACTCAGCATCATACATGGTACTTACCCCGATAAAACCCAGCAGCAGAGCAGTGAGCAAGTAACCTAGCTACTCAGGTTTAGAGGACGAAAACTGGGGACAATTAAGCCAAATGAAGGCAAAGGTGAAAAATCAGCTATGAGCATCACAAGGTGGGAGGGAAACGGACAGCTTCTAATGTATGTTGTGTGACTGTGTATTTGATGGAGAAAAAGAAACATCAAATCATTACCCGAGGTGACATACCTCCTCATCATCCAGGAAGCCGTCGTACCATTCTATCAAATCTGCTGGGGGCTGAGTGTATCTGTGGAGGAAGGAAAAAAAGGAGCACAACATGAGCAAAAAACATCAGAGAATCATGTTGCACAGTTATAATTTTAAATAATGTTTTTATAGTGCTGTTCACATTATACCTCATACACTGATTTTCAGACAGGTGATGTTAATATGGGCAAAGATTTAGTGTAATATTGACAATCAATATAATTTTCCATACCACAGTTGTGTTGTCAAAAATACTGATTATCAATACATAGATTATGAATATTTTAAACAATTTCAATACTCATTTTCCACAGTATTGACACAATGGTACGAGCTGTACTTTCCTGTTCTTTTTCTTATATCTATCTTTTAATATAAACATGAATTTTATGCTCTCAGTGTCAATTTTTCCCATGGTATTGAATAGCAATATTTTTTAAGGTATTGTAACTGAAGTTAGAAATTGAAGTACCATGACAACAGTACACCATGGGGAAAAACCGACATTGAGGACATAAAATTATTCATTTTATTATACCATAAATAACAATGCTATAAAATGACGACTACAACTTTGCTTTCCTTTGTTAGTAGCATAGAAAGGCAGAATGACTTAAGTAAACATATACGGTAAGAGAGCAAGGAAGTGCAGCTGGTATCAGTGTATCAATACTGCAGAAAATGAGTACTAAAACTGTTTGTAATGTGTATTGATAAACTGATATTTTTGACAGTAAGTAAAACTCTTCCTGATTTGAATACAGCATCAATGATGTAGCCAATTTCCCCTTATATATATCTTAGACATAGATGGATGCATCAGAGTAAACTGTCTATAATCATCTGTTAATATCTATCAACTCACTTATTCAATGAGGTCTTTGAAATTATACAAATTACATCATTGCCCCAATAATAAAACATCTTTCTTCTGGAACAAGCAGGGAATTGAGCAATCAAAATGTTTATCTAAATTGTGACAATGTCAAGTAATACACAACATCTTTTTAAGTCTAAAAGAAAAAAACTCCATAAGAGAATGATGTTGGCCAAATGTGGCAGTCTCAAACAAAATGCATACCTTATGTACATGAAGCCGAGAGCCCTGATGTATGGAGAGTCTGTGTGAGTGATCAGACCCATCAGCTGTTTGCGAGTCAGCTTGAGAGTAAACAACTTGTATAGAAGACAGAAAGCAGTAGACACAATACCACCAGTCCCGACTCCGCGCACCTAACAAGAGTGAAGACACATTAGTAAAGCACATCATTCACAGCAAACCTATACACCGCGACTGACCCTTTGCAAATCATCATCCTCCAGACTGGTAAGCGAAATGAAGAGGGGGGAAAAGATGGGGAATATAAAAAGCACGTACTTCTCACTTACCCCTCCGCACATTCCAGTCTGGCCTGCGGTCTTTCTGCTTCCTTTTTCCCAAGGCTCCGCGTGAGTCACCTGTGGACACACAGATCAATAGTGAGGAAAGATTAAACATTAAGACGTGTCTTTAAGACTTGATCTGAGCTGCCGTTGTACACACACATCTGAGAGATCCCGTCCATCTGTCTAACGGCTTATATTTGAGGATTCATTACAAACGCTTAGACTACCGCGGTATTTCCCGTCCTTATTCACAGATAACTTGTATAAATAACAATGGTAAATTGCTTTTAACCTACTGTTAAACTATCAAATGAATGGAACTGAAACTAATTCGGAGTACACAAGACGTAACGTTTAACTTGCGTAAGTCTGTATTTCTTAAGGCAGCCAAACAGCGGCACCTTGTTTGCTTTATCTTAAGCGCTAACGTCAGTTAGCGTTAGCTTACTGACAAGTTAACGTTACTTGAACATGACATATTTTGGCGCTATAGCGTGATATGAGAGGACACATTTCCGAGTCCTCAAGCTTAGTTAGTGACAACCAGCCGTGTCTGGTCCCAGCCTCCCTTGTTATTTAACGACTGCAGTAAAGCACAGTGCTACCCCGGTACCGTTAGCTTGACTAAACAGTCGTTACCTAACTAGCATGCGGTTTAGCATTAGCTGATGTTACCTTGAAGTAGATTTCGTCCACGACTTCGTGGTAGGTCTTTATTTCATAAAGCTGGACTTTGAAATACGGCGAAGACAGCACATTTGTGAGAATCATTGGGTTGAGGTTCATAGTCTTTTCGTTGCCCCACAGGGGCAATACATTTCCATGTTTCCCTGGTGCAGGCTTACTAACGGCCTGTGTTGGTAGCTGGTTTCCGACGTTAGCCATGTTAGCTGAATCCCACGCCGTGAAGCTTAGTGTACAGTTAGCGTGTTTCCGATTACAGATCCATCAATGTAAAATAGTGAAATGTCGACCGTTTACAGTTTCGTCCGGTTAGTTGTTGCTGTTTTGTGGTTAAATTGATAATAAAAACTTCCCGCCGTCGTTGTGGCTAAGGTGCTGTTGCGAGGTGGAACCGGAACTGTAACTGTTGGTGGTGCAGTGTGAACCGACTGTTGATTACGTCATCACGGTGAATGATTTTTTTTTTCTTCTTCTAGAATTAAAACATGAATGCACCATAGAATAATTTATTTCTCAGGTATTCAGACACCAACTGTAAAATCAATGACCGTACAAACACATATATCTAAAAATACTGTAAAGAATATGTACAATTATTATATCATGGCGTATTTAAAAAGATGCTGTCTCTTTTTTGCGGTCTATATCAATGTTTCTGTGTTTTGCCCTAACCGGAAATTTCAATGTTACAATATCCATTTTCATAACAATTTCCTCTTTTAGCTTCTGTTTTCTTGCTTCACTTAACTTGGCCTGATGACCAGGGTAGTAAAATAAAATGAAATTATTAATTTGATAAATTGCTTTTTGCACTAAGATTATTTTCCTGGAGGGGTTTTAATGTGGATAGATTGCACTTTTATTGAGTCAGTTATAAAATTTGTGATGATCTGCTTGTTTGGAAAACTTATCATGGCTAATTAATAGCAGGCTGGAAATATTTTAAAACTCCATTAGAAGACCTTTGGCACTGACTTGAGAGATCTTGGTCATTTTTACCAGGTTAGAGCCACCCAGAGGGCAAAGGCCATCTTGGTAGACCCTAATCATCCTCTTCATGTAGAGTTCCAGGTCCTGGCATCAAGCAGGAGGTTTACATTTCTTCAGAGGGCCAAATCAAAAATATATCTGAGGTCTTTTATCCCAGCAGTTGGGTTCAAGTCGCCTTTTCATTCAAGTTGTATCAGACTGCAATTCATTTCATGGTGACATCTGCTGTATATGTACTTATGTCTATTTATTGTATGATTCTATGATGTTAGTGTTGTATGATTTTGGTTGTGTCGATTACTACTGCCAATTTAAATTACCCCTCAGGGACAATTAAGACTTTCTAATCTAATTTAATTGTAATTTTCTATTTTATTTTCATTTCTGTGTTGCCAAAATGTCCTCTACACCCTTCTGCAAAAAAACTGGTAAAATGCAGCACATAAAGTAGTCTGGAGTAATCCAGAGTGCATATTTTTTAATTTCACGTTTTTATTTGGCCTTCAAAACAACATATATTTTAAAACAGTTGACTTTCAATACATATATATAGCTTACATACTTTAGTTATGACTTCTTGAGTGGCAGCAAATATACATTCTACTAAGTCTGGCACATTTACAAAATCTGTGGTAAAAATAAATTCATTACTTTTGTCTACAGTCAACAGCCATACGTACATTCTCACACAAAATAGACAGAAAAAACAAAACATAAAAACTTTGTGGTATTAAAATGCAGTCATCCTCCCTCACAACCAGGTGAACAGAGGTGTTTATCTATAATTGGCATAAGCTGCAACAGTAAATTTCAAAATGTCAGTTTTATATTACTTTAAATATATAGGACTTCAAGGAACAGACGCAGTCTCCCCCCCCTCCAGCCACTTATGGTGAAACAAAATCAGCCATACCAAAGTGAAGGCATGTTAGATACTTAACATAATCTTAAAATAGCAGAGAGACCCCTTAACAGACACCAAGATGGCTGAACAATATGTGCACAATTACAGTACTAAGGCTTAGTATGACAGTTTTCATAGAAGAAGATCAACAGAAATGTCAGTACACTGGTTATCTCAGTCACCACAATGTTCCAGTAATGTGGCTTTCACCTCCACGTCTTGAACACAAGAGGGCTCTCCTGGCCAACAGACTCTGTAGGTCAGCTCCAGAGGGATTGTGTAAGAGAAACCAAATCTCTTGGAGTGAGGCAGGCGAAAGATCTGATGGCACCTCCACAACTCAGTCTTGTGTCCCCCACATCAGTGTAATACAGCACCCTTTATGACGGGCACATGCTTCCCAAAGCCTAGCGCTTGATCACCACCTGCTCAAAGGCTCCAGCTGTGACCCTGAAAGAGAATGCCACAATATGTTACATGACAGGAAACGCGGGGGGTCATCTGACCTGGCTGTGGTCCATTTTGTACGAGCAGGACTAACACTATGTTGTGAAATTAAAATGATCTCAACATGTGGTCAACAGATCGCTTATTAGAATCCCCATTTAGCATATCTGTTATGAATTTAGATGTGTAATGAACGCCTGCTGTGTGGCACCCACGATCCAGTTACATAATCACACCCACCTCATATGCTGGCTTCCCAAGGCTGTACTCCCACCAGGACCGACAAACAAGCTGAGCCCCTCCTCTGCAGCAACACAAACACACAAACAGATCAGAAATAAGTATACTGCCGACACATTGCTCACACTTAGGCTACATCCACACTGATACATTTTCACTTGAAAACGCGTAACTATTGCTACTTATATATCTAGCGTCCACACTACTTCGGCATTTTGAAGCCTGTAAAATGAAGACCTTTGAAAACCTGTGTTTTTGTCTGGACAGGTGGATACAGAGACTTTTGAAAACCATGACGCAGACACCCACGTTCGCTCCCTGATTGGGTTTTATCAATCACGATATGTCGATCCAAAACATTAAAGCTAGGCCGATATACCGTTGGTGATTTCATTCTTCTCATGAGTGTAATGTTACCCCTTTCCCATTGCCATGGCATCCTCTGGCCATTGATCATGCTCCCTGTGTCACTTTGATATGCTGATGTTTTTGCTTTGCAGTAACTCTAAATCTGTCTTCTGTGGCCTTGACTGCCTCAAGGCTCATTGACATTCCCTTTAAGTACAAAAGCAAATATGTTCTTTTCAAATGTTGTGAACGTCATTGTCCACATATGCCCATGCGTCCTTCCTGTTGCCATAGATACATCCAATAGATGGCACTAGAGGGCAGAGTCAAAAGTTTCACATAGCAATAACCAGCGACAGTGGAGGAGGTCGTAAAGTACCTTTGAACAGAGGCAGCGTTGTAGACGACAGTTGTCTGTGAGCCCATTAAATACATCATGACATGGATGGAGAACTTTTCACCAATTTGTGATTTTATTGATTTTATAAATATCTTTGTCACGTCCTTCAGTCATGTCTCACTTGAACCAAGCTACACCACCCCTACGGTCTTGTTGTGTCTGTATCTCTAAGCTTTCAGAAAAGATGCACAAATACAGAGGAAATGTACGCAGAGTACAGACAGAAGGCTCTGTCCAAGACTTTCAGTAACATTTCCACCTCATCGTCGGTCCAAGCAAAGAAATGTCTGGTCTTACTTTTCACCATCTCTGTAGTAATTTCTGTAATTACGCAACCAATAACAGAGAAGACTATCTGCTTCCTGTTTACTTCAGCACACACACGCCCATGTACATGCCTGATTATGTGATATATGCTTCCAAGCATGTTAGTATGGACGCTCATGTGCATGGAGAATGTTTCTGTTTCAAAATGCCGTTTTAAAAAAAAACAAATGGCTGACCTCTACAGTACGTCTTTGGTTAAGGACAGGGGTTTGTAACATGGCAGCCACAATGTGTGCTCAGCTATCAGTGAGGTTAAACTGACCTTGTGGTATTAAGAGAAATTATATGTAACCTAGCCTCTGTAATCACTAATCAAATAAACCTTAAAATTTAGGCAGGTGAGTATGTAAGTATGGTCTTACTGATGACCAATTTATGATTTGCAGTCATGAACAACTAATCATCATTCAGCATTTCAAGGAAGTACTTAAAGGCATTGCATTGTTGCATTGTTGTATTGCAACACCTCAGAAGTAATTTGATCCCACCAGCAGGATGGTAAGCAACTTTCCAAAATCAGCCTTCATGAGTCCACCAAGTTAGAGATTAAGTGTACACACCCTCTGCACTGGAGTCCAAGAAGCCGTGGCTGAAATCCTGGCTCTGCAGGATTTTCTCTATTATGTCATCAGCATCCACCCTGGTGGCATCAACTCTCTTCAGCTGATTCTCCACTGAGTTCTGCTTTACTGGATGTCTAAACAAAACAGGAAGAGCGTGGAATATTACACAAATGTGCTATAAATAAAAGACATAAGACAATATGTTTGGTGGAAATATTAAGAGTCTGATCCCCAGGTTTGTTTATACACAAAGGCCCAAGCCAGTATAGAAAATATGTTAAAGGAAAGGTGAGAAGACAAGAAGAAAATTCAGACCTTGGAACTTTAACAGGAGTAGAGGGGTATTCAGATGAGTGGTGACCGGTTGCAGAACCTGGGGGAGTGATCCTGCTCTCCCCCTGCTGATCACTGGGCTCCAGGATGCTGCCGATGCCTGTGGAGGCAGAACCTCCTGATGCGCTCCTCCGATGAGACAGATCTGTATAACTGGAGTGATTCGAGCTGTATCCTACATGAGGAGAGAAGAGAGAGAAGAAAAGAAACCCCACAAAGGTTATACTTCTGATTTGTGTGACTGGTGTGGCAGTCATGATTCTTTTGTTTGAAGGGAATAAATAATGTGTCACTGTGTTTGGTACCTGAGATTTTTGACTGCTGACTCGTATGGCTGGGTGTTCTAGAGTGACCGTACGCTACCAGCTCCTCTGGGACTGATACAGACTTTACCGGAGTTCCTAAATGACAAAAACACACACACAAATGTTACAATCACAAGTTTTGTCATAAAGACTTTTGAAACTGTTACTGTCGACTCTCGTTCTTTGTAGAACCTTGTCAAAACTACCGTAAACTGAGAGACTAACATCTTGCTATTGTAAAGAATAGCAAACTCTTTTAAATCTGTATGTACACACCAGTTAGTGAATGGGATATGTTCAGGTCCCCTCCTTTCCTGTCCTCGAGGAGACACTCTGCTTCAGCCTGTGGGATTCCCAGAGTCATGGCAGTAGATGGCGGACTAAAGGGAACACAGGGAAGACTGATGTTACCAAGAAGCAGGGTGGTGTCATAAGAGCTCCTTTAACTGCTTTATCAACAGTGAGGATGTTTAGAGAAAATAAAAATTTGACTCTAACCCGATTAAAGTGGAAAATTACAAGTTTTTTGTTTGAAGTTTTCATGAGGTAAATGTTAACCACACAATGTAATGGCTATAGAATAATGACACCATCAGCTTATCACCCATCACCACTCAACTTATGGCACAAAGAAAGTGTGTCAACCAATGCGCAACCAAAACAGCAAGATGGTAGTGTTGATTGTTTTTCCCAGAAGCTATCGGTAGCTATTTCAGATTACTTGAGAAAGGAAACGGCAGATGGTGAACAACTTAACTGTGGAAACTTTGCAAAAGAAAAAGAAATCCGTTGCTAGGCTCTGAGGAAAACACAAAATGATCCAGTGGTGCTAACAATATAATACCACTTGGAAGGAAATGCTAAGGTGCCTGTGTGTGTGTGTGTGTGTGTGTGTGTTGGTGGTGGGGGCACAGCATTGCACTTCTACCCTGGGATTGACTCATTTTTCTAGAAACATCAAACCGGTGTAAGGGCCTGTGACCACACTGGGGGTTTTTTCTGAGCGCTAGCATCCTTGTTCAATTGTTCCCAATGAGAAGAAAGTGTATGCAGCTGCCTCGAGCCCAGTGTCTTTTTTCAGAGTGCTCTGGCTTTCTTGTGGGGCCACCTCGAGCACTTCGATTTGACAATCTCTGAACTTTTCAGAAAGGTGCTGGTGTTGCCACTGCCATTCCTTTACCTACTGTTTATCCAGAGCCTGATGATATGTCATAAAACTGTCAGAAACTATCACCTCTACTGGTGAATAGATGGCACCAAATACTGCAGTAACACTGGGATGTTTTCTGTTTGCAGTCATCAAAAATGTAAAAATGCTGTGTAATGGCTAAACTGCAGACATTAGAATAAATCAGTAAGCAAACATCAGAGCCAGTCTCATACTAAGTCTATTAAAACAGAATCACAATTGCGTCTCAGCAGGTCCCTCACATTAACATAGAACACCCCACTTCTCTGCTACTAAGATGCTATGTTTAACACAGGATTGTGGGCAGAGAGGCAGACAAACAGTGAAGAAAAAAGGAGCGTCATTTCTCTTGTTCCATCACACAGAGTGAGTAACACTGCGTGGGATGAATGACTAGGCTATCCTCAAGTTTACGCATTAGACATCTTCTAGGCGTGTGTATTATTACACTGAGAGGGAGTTGGAGCTTGAGAGAGGACAGAAACAGACTTGTGTTGGTTGACGAAAGTTGTTTGCAAATGGCACAGGCTTTGGCAGGAGGGTGTTGTTACATCACGTCCTTTGTGACAAACGGCTCATGACAAAAGAGATGTTACGTCCACAGGGCTGAGCTGATCACATATCAGCTGTTCACTCCAGAGGTGAGGTAGATTAATATCTGGGTGAGGTGTTATTAGTTCTCAGATAAGACTCATAAAATCCCAGGTACAATATAATACTTCAGAACTTGAAACTCTGTGAGTGTCTCGAATATCAGACAGTAGAGTGTATTTTCAGATAGATGACAGACAGGATGTGATGAGAACTCTTTCCTCTGTGGTTACATGCAGACTTTTGTAAGTGGGGGACAGACTTCCTTTAAAACCACCTTTTTATAGCTGACTAAAGCTGAACACAAGTTACTTAAATTGGAAATAGGTTTTTAAATTAAAATGATATTCAGACTTTCAAGGTGAGTGATAGAAATTAACAGATGAATAAGGTCAAAATGAGGTCTTACGTTTTAAAACACGGGTCTCCAGACATAAGTTGCGTGGTGATGACAACCTGTAAGAGAAAAAGGAGGAATAGTAATGTCAGTTTTAAGCTGTAGAGCAACTGTATTTGTGAGGCAGGAAAAAGCTTCAATTTTCTCGTTATTTTGTGCAATGTAAGCCGACTGTAGATCTGTGCCCCAGGTAAAAATAATAAAAATTTCATTCCCATGTCTCAGGTAGTTTACAGCTCACAGGCTCAGACATGTGTGGAAGCAACTGTCAGGGTATCCAACTTTTCAAGCCATGACATAATTTCAACTTTTCCCAAGGGTAGTGTCGACATCTGCAGATGAACTCAAGAGCTGGTGACTTGCAAAGCGACATAGTTGCGCAAGAACCGGTTTTAGGCTTATCTGCGGTTTGCTAAACCAAATTTTATTTGTACAGACATGTAAGAGCAAATTATTGAACGTCACCAAAACATTACCAGTTTGGCAAACACTCCTAAGGAAATTTCTAACAATATTTAAAGGTTCAGTGTGTAGGATTTAGAGGGGTTTTTGGTGAAAATGGAATATAAAGAAATATAATATGATATAATAAATGTTTTCTTTAGTGTACAATCATCTGAAAACAGAATTCTCATGTTTTTGAATGAGCTGTTTATATCCACATAGGAAGTGGGTGCTCTCTGTGGAGATAGCTATTTCGCACTGTCATGTTTCTACGATAGCCAAGAACTGATGAGCCAAACACTGGCTCTAGATAGAGCCATTCGTTTTTTTCTGCATTGGAAACCATAGTAAGCAGCCCTTCTGCAATGCGTGTGTTGGAAAAATACTGATTTTTTAACATGAAACTGCTTTATTGAGTGTTGTTACTGATTTATATCAGTGGGTCGGTTTGTTGTGAAGAGGAAGAGACTTCTGCAGGTAATTCTGCTCCTGGTAAAAACCTCCTGAACGTTTGGTTCTTAAGTTATCAGAGGAAACAGGGGAGCACACATGAGGAAGTGCTGGGCTAGCAGCCCGTCTCCAAAATGCTAAGAAAGCGTCAGAGAAACACTGATTTGTAACTTAAAACTGCTTTATTCAGTGCTTTTACCAGTTTTAATCACCTGGTCCATTTGTTTTGGAGAGCAAGAGACATCTGCTCAATATCGGCTCCCGTTAAAAACCTCCTGTACAATAAACACTAAAGGAATTCTAACCGAGAGATGTTTCAGCTGGTTGCAATCTGCAATCCTCAGCATTAGATGCCACTAATACTCCCTAAATCCTACACCCTGTTCCTTTAAAGAAAGACTACAGAGCTATCCATTAAAACACTACCTCACCTTCAGAATTGAGTTGTCCTGTCTGGTGTTCTTTGTGTCATATCCCTCCAGGAGACACCGTCGTGTGGTGCTGCCAGACCCAGCAAACTCAGACAGGTTCAAGTCAGCAAAGCCCAGCTGCACAGGGATATAAGAGATCAACCAGTTAGAACCAACTGACAGTCAGTTTATGTCTGTAAAAGTGCCAGCATTAAGAACCTATTTGTACATAAAACATCATTCTAGGATAATGTTGTGGTATTAAGCATATATACAGTTACCTACATATGAAGAAATCCAGCCCAGCTCATGTTTTTGGAAACACAATATACGTGTCTTAGATGGGACCTTGAATCCTTGAGAAATCGGATAACCTAATTCTTTGACTCATCATTAAAGTTATTGGTTAACATAGCGTGGGTTTTGTTTTACAGATTTTTCAATCAGTAACCAACGCCGGAAACTAGAAATAAAAACATTCCTTGTACAAACACTCCCCAAAATGTCCTCTAAGAGCACTTGGAGGCCGACTGTTATCACATAAATTTTATGATAAGACTGTTCTAATGGATATCTGGCACCTGCTGTGTTTACAACAGATGCCAGTCTACACACTTAAGAACAAAAGTGTTACCTTTGCAAAAGATTTTCCACCCTTCAATTCCTAAAATGACAAAAACACAAACAAAAAGTGAGTCTATGTTCATCTGATTCATCATTATCTCACACACTTTTTTCATTAAAGCCTTTTTGACTCCTTTCAGTATGACAACAATCTGCACAAAGCACTTCTGATATGGTTACAAATTAACAGTGCCGCTGATCATATGTACATAAATATTTTCTTGGCACATTCAAGGCTACAGTAAGTTAAGTATCTGTTCCTACTTTGCATTTTCGTTGTGTCAACAAAAAAGAGCTTGATGGCAAAAAAACCAAAAAAGTCCTGTACCTTGCGCACAGACACCCGACACACACAAGGGTCCAGTACACCTGTCCCAGCATTGGCACTCATCTTACACATGAAAGAGAATCTCTTCCTCCAGTGTACAGAGTTGGCTTGGACTGGCTCCCTGTGAGAGAAGTACATGTAGAAACACTTCTTCATACAGAAACAAAAACACACAGGCATACTGAACACTGAGAGAGCAGATATTAACCACAAATCTGCCAGATCAACGCTTGGTTTACCCACAGAGTGTGTGAGGCAGATGTACAAGTTGTGCATGTCTCCAATTTTAATCAGAATATATAGACACATGTAGTAAATGATATTGAATGTATTTACATGGACATGAATAACCTATTCATGGCTGAGTTTTTGAAGTATCCAGTTTATATGTTTGAGCATGTAAACACCATATCCTAAACATGATCATAACCGGGATAGGCCTCATAAACAGGTTATTCATGTCCACGTAAATGCACTTGTTTAATTTAGTCTGTAAAGTGAGCTTATGACCTTCATTTAGGCTTTAAAGGTCCAGTATATAAGATTTGAGGCAAATAGATTTTGGGCTGTATTAGTACATCTGAATTCACAGGGTACATGCAGAATGTACAGAGCAGACAATGCTGATGGTGCTGCTTTATAGTACATTTTTGCCAGTTATATTTTCATGGTTTGATGTCATAAAGATAGCACAAATAGCTTTAATGTATTATCTAAAAATAATAAAAGTAGTATAAATAGGAATAATGTTTTTAAAATAGTATTTTCATACACCCAGAGGATGGTCAATATACTTGTGTCTGAAAAAGAGAATAAAGTTGTGGTTGGAGCAGGGTAAAACTAAGTACACAGTGTTTTGATACACACAGTAACCATGGCAAAGTAATGAGGGTTTAGCGGTTGACATGTGCTACGCCTGTGTACTTTTTTCCACAGTGACTCATTGTAAAGCTAACGTTACAAGCAGTCCTAATCACAGGCCCGAGGGAATTAATCGTGTACGCTTTACTGCAATGGAGGAAAAAACAAAATGTGCAAATGACAACAGAGAGAAAATCAGCATGATATAAATTTACCACTATAAGGAGTCTCTGGTGTATTAAATAATCTCCAAATAGTGTTATGCCGTTGTTGTTATTTATACCCAACTGCTGACTGAATAACTTGAGCGGAAACGTGGTTCGCGGTGCTGGTTGCTTAGCAACGGCTCTGATTAACTGTATAGCGTTACGCAGGTTAACAAAAACTAGCATTTCTTTCCATTAAAATTTGTTTAGTTTATATTTTATTTAACTAATTAGTGCCACTGGCTCTTTTAATACTACGTTAAACCACAGCCTCCTCCTTACACGCAGCTGCAAATCTTCAACTCTTGACTAGGTACGTTAACGTTAAGTTAAAACAGTTAAAGTTTTAGCTAGCAGCTAGCTAGCGTTAATTTACTGTTAGTTAACCCACCTGTTAGCTAGCTACTGTGGTGAAGCTAAACGTTAACTACACATAACGTTAAACGTTAAATGTCAAGGATTGCAAAGGCAAAGTCGAATGTTTAACAGGTGTTTAACGGAAACTGAACGGGGACTAAAAAATGGCCAAAAACACGTTTAACTTAATTTTAATTTTAGCTTGTTCCGACTGAACCGTTGCTATAAATAGAAAAGAAAAATCTTACCGAGACGACTCTTCGGCGAAGCCTCCATCCACGAGTCTAACTTTACAGAATAAAATTGTATTTACGAAGGGCACCGATGACAACTCCTCCAAGTCGAAGTCCACTTTAAATTTAAACCTCTTTTTCTTCATGAGAATGAACGACATGATATCGGAGTGTCAGTAACCGGGGCGCAACGAGTCCTGACAGACAGACAGCTGAACACTTTCCCTGCTCCGTGCTGCTGCTGTCCTGTCACTGCTGCTCACTCAGCTGTTGCTGGCTGTTGCTTTGGTCTGCAGACACGATTCAAAGTTCAAATCTCCTCCTTCCCACCCACTGAAAAATATAATTCATGACGTGAGGGAAATTCCAGCGTTTGATTGGACACTGTAGCTGCATGGGGGAAAAAAGAGAATCAAATACCGAGGTCACGTTGTGGTGGTCTCACACCCCACGGCCCATACTCATTCAAAGTGGATCCACTGAAGTGACTTCCCGTGACTACACTGGCACAAAAGAGAAGTGGGGAAAACTGAAAGGACAATGTCTTTCATTACGGAGGCATGTGACAAAAAGAAGAAATGCAAAATAAGCATATGACAAAGCTGAACAAAATACAGAAGGCTACTATGGTTCAAATGACAGTGAAATTAAACTTGCAATGTGTAGGTGGACTGACCCTCTACAACACAGGAATAGACCATGAATGCTATTAAAGATATTCAGCTACAGCATAGTCATATTTATGTCTGAACTAGTGACTGTGGAAAAAGTATTCAGTATTCCTATAGGTTGGAGTATACTTCAGTGAAAGTAACAAAACCACTCTGACTTCAGGAATACACTAGTGAAAGTCTTCAGTTGTTTACTCAAAAGTACAGAAGCATCCTCAGTAAAATGTGCTTAAAATACCAACAGAGTGGTCATGCCATATACACATTACGTTACTGGATTATTAAAACTGATGCATTAATGTGTAAGCAACATTTTAATGGCGTAGCTGGGTGAGGTGGGGCAAACTGTAGCCATTTTATATAGACTACTGTTGAGAGGTTTTATCTATAACAACCCACAGATGGATGTAAATAATGTACAAACATTTACTCAAATTCAAATTTAAATTATTTGCTCTTTACTTTAGTCTTTTCATGTCACTATGTCCTACTTTACTACTTTCCAGAGTTTTTTTTACAGTGTACTACTCAATTTCACTGTTTCTTTGACAGTGTCAGTTAACTAAATATTTGGTAGAATAACATATTGTAAATATTACAATACTGCTCCACAGGGATCAAACAATAGTTCTCAGTACTATCAATCTTAACTGATTTGACATAATAGAGAAACACTAGGAGCAAAGGTCAGGGGAAAATACAGCTAGTATGATGAAGTGGGAAGTTAAACTATAAACAAACACACAAATGACAATAACTAGCGTAAACCACCATGTTCTGGAGAGACACACCATAGACAGACAATATAGAGCTTATAAAATATGGTGGTTTGTTATAAAATAAACTACCTAACAGTACAAGTGCAGTTGAAATTATGAGTTGATTAATCAGTCAGCCAACAAAAAAAGATGTCATGAAAAAAAACTTTTTAGGGAATGGCAGCCTTTGCCTTACTCATTTTTCATTCTTTCTTTTTTTTTCATTATTTTAATTTATGTATAATAATGTTGATGACAATTGGTTGGACAAAACAAGCATTGCAAAGGTGTCATTTTAGGCTCTGGGTAACAGCGACAGCATTTACTGATTTTCATGTTTCTTATATACAACAAAAAAGACCAATTAATAGAGAAAAAAGAGTGATAATAATAATAAGAATAACTTTTTGCAGTCCTATACAAATGGTGAAAAATTAGCTGCACCTCATTTGTACAAAAGTTAAATCCTACTTTTACAATAAATAGAATAGTATAACAGTCACAGGGAGCATTTTTCTGCATTAGGTACTTTTACTTTTAATATTTTAAGTACAATATATAAGTATTGGAGGACTTTAACATGTGACAGAGTATTTTTTACAGGTATTGGCACTTTTACTGGGGTTAAGGATCTGAATACTTCTTCCACCACTGACAATGCATCATACAGTATTTTACAAACTGTCTATACGTTTTGCATTCAAAATCTTAATCTGAAAAGAAGAGGCGGTAGTAATGTTGCAAAGTTAAAAGCACATTTCCTTCTAAAATGTAAGCAGAAGAAGATAAATGGTAATACTCAAGTAAAGTAGCTGTGTAGCTGTGTCTGTCAAGTAGCTGTCTGTTAGTCAGTCACTCTGCAGCAGGACACTGCACTGCAATTAAAGTGTTTTTAACAAACTTGACATGTTTGTGAGTCAGAATGGACCCATGACCCACTTTTGGACCATGACCCACCAGTTGGGAACCACTGCGACTGACTCCTTCCTCTAATGTGCGCCACCTCTTGTGTGAGGAAACACCTCCCTCTGGTGGCGACTAGATGTGCTGCGCTGCAGGAAATACTACGCTGTGTGTTTCTGTCTACTGACACGTCCTGTTAGATGAAGAGATTAAATTCTCCCTATAATACACCACGGCATATCACACAGAGCAGGGGTAAAAAAAAACAGATGGGGACTTTCACTGTGAGGAGCATAAACCGGATTATGCACGCGGTTAATCCGGTGGTTATTTATTCCCCCACTTTCCTATTTTACCATCTTTCCTGCTTTTCCGTAGAAAACATCGAGCGGCTGCAGCCCTCATCGCTCCGCCCTCTATTACTGCAGTTCGTCTGAAGCGTTACGGGGTAGACTGCACCTCTGCATGGGACAAATTAAAGTAACTGGGAACCCTCTCTCAACATCCAAACCGAGCTCACATCTGGATTTTTGCAGGGTTTGTGGGTGATTTTCAAGATGGATTAATAACCAGATCCTGACTGCAGGGCGACTCGTCTGGACTGCCGCTTCCACATTAGCCTTACAATGTATCAGACGCTACGGACGCTTTTACTATCAAATGCGCGGTGCTGGGATGCGGACAGCCGAAAGTCCTATCAGGACCTGTTTGAGAGGCTTGATACCAACAAAGATGGGAAGGTGGACGTCGCTGAGTTGCGGGCGGGCCTCAAGGCGATGGGGATATTCCGCCACGGTGCTGCACAGGTAAGACCTCAGGGTGGGGGTCCTGTAGAGACAGGTTAAGGGTTTGGCCTGCTCGTTTTGCAAGAAATTCCTTAGCAGTGTGACTGTGTGTGTGTGTGTGTGTGTGTGTGTGTGTTGCTGGAGGAGGCAAATAAGCCATTAGGTTTTATCTCCCTTCTGCAGAAAATAGTGTCGTCTGGTGACCAAAATAAAGATGGGAGTCTCGACTTCAACGAGTTCAGCAAATATCTGAAGGAGCACGAGAAGAAGCTGAAGCTGACATTCAAGAGTCTGGACCGGAACAATGATGGTAGGAGATGGGTGTAGCGGGCTCCAGGAGCTGCCTCATTATTAAGAAATACTTGGCACGAGTGATCACACATGGTAACACATGCCAGTGATTGTTTATAATACCACACATCCTCTGTTTATACTGCAGCATATCTGAGTGGATTTTTTATGGTGTTTCAGGGCGCATTGATGCCTCAGAGATCCAGCAATCCCTTGCAGAGCTGGGCTTGGAGATCAGCAGAGAGAATGCCCAGAAAATACTACAGAGGTTTGATCTCTTCTTCAGTCCACTTTCTATTTTGGGTGTGACCAGAATGTTGCTTCTGTGTAATCTGAAAGCTTTATCTGGTCAGTAATGTGCTAATTGCATTCATAGATAATAGATGATGAGGTTTCTGTGTGTTTCCCCAGCATGGACATCGATGGGACCATGATGGTGGACTGGAACGAGTGGAGAGAACACTTCCTGTTATGCCCAGCTCACAACCTGGAAGAGATCATCCGCTACTGGAAACACTCCTCGGTACATACACATGACCCTCACAGAAAACGCACTCTGCAGGCAAACACATAGGCGGCTGCAGTGGAATGAATCACATGACATCTAGTCCGCTTGTGTTAGATGTTATGGATTTTCCCTGCAGTTCACATTTTGGCAGCGACTTTGAAAGATTAGACTGGCCAACATAATTAGGTCACAGCAGCACACTCTGCTTCCCTCAGCTCGCTCCTCCACCTCTTCTTAGTGTAAATAAGGATGTCATTGTCAAGATATGTGCTCCGGCATGAGCAAAACTCTGCCTCCCTTTTCTTTAAATTGTTCCTAAATCTTCAATGCACTGCACATTTATGGTGTCTTGGGCAACAAAACCAGACAACTTGCATTCTCATACCATAAATGTGCCTTAGTGTGCAGCCCCCTGTGTTTCTCTGCAGTTGTATTAGATTGCTGCTATGTTTGTCACTACCAGACAGCCTCATGCTTTTGGAACAACATTGGATATGTTTATCTGTAACAGCCAATGCATGCAAGACAAGGGCTCAGTCGGCTCAGTGATAATGCTCTCACAAGCAGTTTTAGCTACAGGATAAGGAGGTCAATTCATTGTTTGTTGTTAAAATAGTTTAAACTTCTGCAGTTTTTTATCCTTCTCCTCACAGTGGGACCTGTTTTTCTTGCACAAGTTGCACCAAATAGACTCTACAGCAGAAAGAAGCACATTATAATGTGTTTACTTTCTGTCTGCAACCCGACATTCAAGGTTTTGTAAATGTTGCCTTTCCTCCAGTGTACAAATGGTAATTTGGTAAGATTGAAAGGGCAGTTGCTGCGTGACTGTGAGAATAGACAAGAAAGCAGAAGTGCTTGTAATCTTGTGAAGTTTTTTTTGTCACATTGACAACCACACAAAGCAGCGTTCTGTGACATGTGCCTTCCTGAGAGAGATACGATCACAAAGGCAAAATGATTCTGCTGTGAGACATCTCACAGCATTTATCATGGCCATAAACTGACATAGCTTTGAGCCAAAATGTGCTGTTTTTGACTCTGATGAAGACAAAGTGGTGCTGAAACCTTTGCACTATTTAAGGCTGTAAATTGATCAGTGTGCTCCAGTCCTTTCTTCTCCCTTGGAAAGTCGCTGTCCTTGAGCTGAGAGGCAAGAGGCAACCTCTTTCAACCAAACCACTGAGAAGATGTGTTATTAAGCACTAATTCTAAAGATATTTTGGGGGTGGGCAGCGCGAAAGGGGGAGAGAGAGAGGGGATGACACGCAGCAAAGGGCCACAGGCCGGACCTGAACCTGGGCCGCCGTGGCAACAGCCCTGTACATGGGGCACCCGCTCCACCACCAAGCCACC